GGAAATCGGAAGGAAAAAAAACGTCGGAAATCGGAATTCCAACCCACCTCTGTTAAGAAGGAATTAAAATGTCTTAAATAATAGCCAATTAAATTAACAGTTAATTTTTTATATTTACCAATTTAGGTTTTTTAGGTAGATTAAGGGACATTTATCATGGCAAATGACAGAAAACTCTATTTTTCTCCAAAAACTTGTTTCCTTTTCTAATAATTTTCTATTCAAAATTTATTCAATGGCAATTCTTTTAACTTAATCCTTTCTTTTTTTAAGGAAAAATCAAGATCTGTCCAAAAAATCCCCATTTTCTCAAAAATATCCCTTAACAAATTCAAATAAATATTTGAATTCGTTAGGGATATTTGTGGGAATAACGAAGGGTAATTTGTTTACGATAGGAGCTATTTCTCTCCTTTAGCTAGTGCAAAAGGTTAATCGGCGGCTCGGAACGACCAGCATCTTTAGTAGACCGGACTGATGTGTTAGCCATTACACCACGCCGTCTACTGCAAAGCTTTAGGAATTAAATAGCTACCGTATTTTCTCGATTAATTTCCCTGGGGAATTATTTTTCCACCCTTCCTTGGGATGGGGAATTAATCGAGGGAGGGGGAATTAATCGAGTTTTGGCATTTGAACGTGCAGTAGGGTATTTGGGGGTGGAGAATTATCTCAACCCATCCCTGGCAAGGGGAATTAATCGAGAGGGGCAATCTTACAAGGAGGGGGAGAGGGGGAATTATTCGAGAAAATACGGTATATGCTTTACAGGATAATTTGTTTAGGATAACCGATAAACACCTTTAAATATATCTTTATTCCTAGAGTCTTTAGCCGTTTTTTTGTTTGTTTATTCAAAAGCTATTTTGAAATTATTGAGCGTCTCATTAAAGAAATCTATTTTTGAAATGCCTTGCTTAAGCAACGTATATTTTACATCGATTCCTTGCCAAATATTAGACTTGCTTCTCCTTTTAATATTTTTATTTGTTTAAAAATATTTTTTCATTTGCAAATTTAAAAAAATTTTTTTTAAAGAAATGTTAAGAAATTTAATAAAAATTAATTTATTATTATTAATTATTATAACTAAAAATTATGGAATGCACCCAGGAAAGGATACTATAGAGTATTTTTTGAGGGAAAGTGGGGCTTTGAACTCGCCAAATCAACAGGTGTTTTTATAACATTGGGGTATTTAATCCTGTTATGCCCTTAGGGCCGGTCTAACCTAATAACATACTCATTTATTACAAAAATAAATACGAATAACAAAAGTCACAATAGGTAGGAATAATGAAGTGCAGCAACGGCCGGCCTGATCAAGACTAATCTTTAATGACTGATTTTATAGTAGACCCCCTAGCTATTATATTGATGCTGTGGAAGAGTTTATTGGATGGTGGATGGAATAGAACCACCTTGAAATGAGCCCAGACCGAAGCACAACCGAAGTACAAGTTCCACCATCCTTCCGATGATGGGTTATTTTTATTTCTTTATATTCTTTCTGGAAGTTCGGTCACACAACACTAACAAATCCCAAAATCCTCAAAAAATAATTAATTAATCTCCTCACATATTTAGCAAATTCAAAACAATCCTAATGCCGGAATATTCAATTCTTCAAACACCCCAGTTCAATCAAATCCTCCTCATCATATGTACTACAATCAACACCCTTCTCATCAAAATATTCACCACCCTCCTCAATTTACTAATTCAAATTTTCATCAACACCCAGATATGTTTTCTACAAATCATTACCCCCCTCATTACCCCCCTCAATATCACCCTAATTTTGTTGGGCATCAACAATTCTCTTCAAACTATCCAAACAATATTATTAATTTCGGTGATTCTCCACATCCTGACACAATGCTAAATTTTCAACAAAACCTTCCAGCAAATGAGGGTTATCACCCATTTTACAATCCAGATTTGGCTGCAACCCAACAAGCAACACCGTCATCTTTTAATATTGAGGAGACTAGTATGTTGAAATTATAAAATGATATTAATTTAAATTATCGTATATACTCTAATAATTGCCTTCTCTTTAAGGAGCTTCAAGAAATATGATCGCCTCGACATCTGGCAATTTGGCACCGTCACACACTTATTTGAACCAAGAAAAAAAGAAAACCAAAAAAAGAAACCCAGTAAAAACCAACGAAGAAAAGAAACCCAAGGAGATTTTTAAGCATTCAAACGAAGGGGGATTTCAGCCTTGGAGACCACCGAATGAACAACCATCAAATCCAGACATTCAGCATTCACCGGCTCATGAACAACCGTCCAGTCCACACTTTCAATATCCGAACATTAAGGAAATTGATTTGAACGTTAAACTGGATTCCCCATATGAAGAATCAAACGATCCACAGTTACAGCATTCCCCAGAAGATTCAACTCATTCCACCGGCTTCGACTCACAAAATTTGACTCATGGACAACCATCTCGTACAAACATTCAACATTCAAACTCTGAAGGATTCGAGACTTGGACACACGCGGATTCAATTCAGAGGCAATCATCCTCTACACCCTTTCAGCCTTCAAACTTTGGTGCATTTCAAACCTGGAAACAAACTAAATTGCCGGAATCATCCAATCCACCAAACATTGAAGAATTCCAGCCTTCAACTCAGCCGAAAAAACCTCAAGGATTTCGACCTTACAAGAAAAGAGGTTAAATAATGCAAGCTGTGGATACCTGTCTAACTACTGTATTTCCTCTAAAATAAGCCTCGTGTCTTTTTTTCGATCACCCTCAGGAGTGGACTTAGTTTAGAAGGGGATGGGTTACTTTATCAAACGGATATCAATCATCAGATCCCTCGATACCTCCCTAGATCATTTACATCAGTGTTAATCCACCAAATACCCTCTTAAGCACTCCTAATCCATCTATATCCTTCCATTGGGTCTCAACTTAGGATTTGAACAACCTAGTTTTTAGGCTTTATTCTCGACCAAATTTCAAGATAATTAATTTATATTTTGATAAATAGTATTCCTTTAACGACTATAATTTTCTTTTCTGTTGTTAAATAGGTCTAAATCCACAAATCAGGTCCTTATATAAATAAAGGTTTTTTGCACAATTTTTTTTGTTTACAATGCTCTAAGAAATTTCATTTTTCTTAATTTGCTTTTAAAGAAATTTATAATTTTTTATTTTGTATTGAGAGCTTGTAAATTTTTTTGTTGTGCATTACCCTTTCACAATAATTCACCTCACCCTCATTTAAGTTATTTATAAGTAGACTTTCTACCATATCACGTCTTTACATTTTATTTTCTTTTGTTTTTCTTAAATTTTTTATAAATTTTCGGGTAAATTTGTTTTTATTAAAAATTAAATTTGATTAAATATCTAGGATTTTTCAAAATTCAAAGAAAAAATCTTTTGAGTATTTGGAAACTCGTAATAAAATTTGTACTCACCTGTGTGTACGAGTATGAGGAAAAAAGAAGGCATGTATGTATTATCTTGTTTCTGTTCCCCCTCTTTTCTTTATACTAGGGTTGGTCCCCGACCCCGACTAACCCCGACCCCGACCCCGAACCCCGACATTTTTTGACCTAAAACCCCGACCCCGACATTCCCAACCCCGAAAACCCCGACCCCCGAAAGTTCGACCCCGACGACCCCGAACCCCGAAAAATTTTTATGCCCCCGACTCAAACTGCATTAATTAACTAGAGATGGAACGGGATCGGGACTTTGATGCTAAATATATGAAGGAAAAGGGAAAGGAATATTTATATTTTCTCCTGTTTCCCTTTGTTGGTCGATGGTTGAGTGGTTAAGTTAACTGACTTCAGCCATTTAGCTATTTTGATAGGAATGTTGTTCGAATCCAGGGATGGAAATAAGGCTGAGAAAATTTTTCTTCTCAAAAATAAATATTTTTAAACTATGATCTTGATTTTAAATTTGTAAATTTATTTTTTTAAATATTTTAAACTTGAAACAATATTAGAAATTTTAAACTAGTCATGAATTTTCCAAAATTTTCGCCTGCGGCGCAGAAAATTGAAGAAATCTGTCTCTTGGCCTTCCAAAATTCTAAAAATTTTTGCCTGCGGCGCCGAAAATGGAAGAAATCTGGCTCTTGACCTTCCAAAATTCTCAAAATTTTTGCCTGCGGCGCTAGACACAATGAAGGGATACAGAGGCTTTAGGAGAAATTGATGGATAGATGGATTTCTCCCGTTATCCTTGCAACTCCCCGATATCCCGTCAAATCCCTCTAAATCCCATTATATCCATCTTAATCCTCTGATATGCCTTCATATCCCCTCAATCCCTTTACATAAGAGGTGGAGTAAGAGTTACCTTGTGGGTTTGGGGATTTTGGGGATTATGAAGGATAACTTGGATAAAGTACTTCTTGCGCCTTCAACTAATCACGAATTAGATACAGAAAGTGAAGATAATGAAGATTAAGTTGATTTTTTAATAAAAATGTTGATTTTGAACAGTAATTTTGGATAAAAATGCTGGATTTTGTAAATTTTCACTTCAACCCCGACCCCCGACCCCGACCCCGAACCCCGACATTATTTTCAGCCCCGACCCCGACCCCGAACAATTTGAGCAACCCCGACCCCGACCCCGACTTTGTCAACCCCGAAAACCCCGACCCCCGACTTTTCCAACCCCGAAGGCTCGGGGACCAACCCTACTTTATACTTAACCACTCCCAATGATCAGAAAACTTTGAACGGCCATAACTCGGCCTTAAAATCATTTTTGTAAGAAAACGAAAATCACTTCGCAATAGGAAGCCGGGGGTGTTCTATCGAATGATACCAAAAAATTTATCTAATTCATGGTCACAATAAACTATGTTCCTTGCAAGTACAAGCAGATTTTAAATTTTCAAATATTGCAAGCTCAACACCCCTTCTAAACCTTCAAATAATTACTACTAAAATATAAATAAATTTTTATTTTTTCCAAAATAACAATTTTTTAAATTAATTTTTTTTTAATTTTTAAACAAATCATTTTTGTCAATTCCATTCTTTTCCAGATAATTATCCAACTTTTGTTCAAAATTAAATTCATAGTTAATCCCAAGATTTTTAATTTTCAACATTTTCTCACGTAATTGTTCGGTAAAACGTTTCTGAATTTTTAAAAAATTTTTTAATTTCATTTTACAAAGGAGGACCCTTTTCTCAACCTCACAAAAATCACCCTTCCAAATTTATTAAAATCAAAAATAAAAATTACCAAACGAATGCGTTCTTGTTTCTCATTTTTTGGCTCTAAACGTTTCAATGTTTCCTTCAAACCTTTAAAAAATAAAATTTAAAAAATTTTCGGAAAATAGATTTTTTAGTGAATGACCAGATCAAAAATTGTTTTAGTGGTTATTCAAAAAATTGTTTTTATTGGCAATCATTTTTATTGAGATCTCTTTTTAGGGGTTTTCTACTAAATTATAAAATATTAACGAATATTACCTTCTTCCCTCTCATCCTCTCTTTTTCCCTCCCCCCCCCCCCCCCCCTCTACTCAATCCTCATTTCCCCCTTCAATACCTTCCCTTCCCAATAATTTATATCAAAAATGGAATATTTTTTAAACAAAAAGTTCTTTAATTTTTTCGTGTCCGGACAAAATATCGAATCGTTAAAATATGGAATAGGCTAAAAAAGGGTTAAAATCTCGAATCGGGTAAAAGTGGGTTAAAATCGCGAATAGGCTAAAAAGGGGTTAAAATGTGGAATCGTTAAAATATGGAATGGTTAAAATATCGAATAGTCTAAAAATGGGTTAAAATATGGAATCGTTAAAATATGGAATGGTAAAAATGTCGACACGGCCAAAATGGGTAAAAATGTCGAATTTTTTAAAAATAGCGCCAAAACTAGAATCCGGGCGTTGCCGTAATACCGACGGTATTTTTCGGTATTCCGTGTCGGTAGTACGGTACAGAATGCTACCGATAAAATTTAAAAGCTGATCGGTATTTTTATGGTATTCCGTACCGTATACGGTAAGGTACAAAATTTAGGTCTTAACTAAAAACTAGTGCACGCCACTCTAATTTTTCCGTATAAGGATCGCGTTATGTTTTCCGGATCCGTACGATCATGCCGGACCGGATCCGGTCGATTATGCTTGATTTATCCGGTCCGGGTTTACTCGGTAAAGTACAGTGAACTCTGGCAGAAAAGATTACGCCGGACTACGACCTACCAAAGTTATTAACCAACTTATCAGCAGTAAGTTGATAAGTTGATAAAATTATCAACAATCAACGTATGGCACTCATTTGACCCTTTTTTAAAGAAATTCGACATTTTGACTTATTTTGGCCGTGTCGACATTTTTACCATTCCATATTTTAACGATTCCATATTTTAACCCATTTTAGACTATTCGATATTTTAACGTTTCCATATTTTAACGATTCGGTATTTTAACCCCTTTTTAGCCTATTCGCGATTTTAACCATTCCATATTTTAACGATTCCATATTTTGTACCGGAGCCAATTTTTTCCTTACGATTCTCTCCAGGTTCAATAATATTTCCAAATCTCTTTCCACCCCTTATACATTTAGGTATTTTATCTTGATCAACAACAGAACATCTCAACTTCTTTTCCGCCAACAAATAATTATTCATTGATTTTGCAGCTATTTCTGCTACTTTTTCATTTTTGAATTCAACATAGGCAAAGCCTGTATGATGACCCTAGAAAAAATTTTTTTAATATTTTTATTATTTTTTCTCACTCTTTTGCTCCGAATAACGCGAACACGTTTGACATCACCAAATTGACTAAAAATAAATATTAAACTTGTTATGAATGTTGCAAAACTTTGTCTTAAACAAAAACAAACAAGATTCGAACTTTGACCAACATTAAAACAAACTTGAAAACAACATGTTCAGAAAAAAGTTTATTTTAAAGTTTTTAAATTTATTACTGTTTAATGTAAGTTTTATTCCACTAAAAATGTTTTCCAAGTTTGTTTTTGTTTTAAAGTTGTTCTGTTTCACAAAACATGTTTTCAAGTTTATAATAAAAGTTGAACATGTTTTATTTAAAGTTGGTTCATTAAAAATAATAAACTTTAAACAAAACATGTTCAGACAAGCTTGTTTCAAATGTTTGTTTCATTCGACAAAAACAACATGTTTTTAAATTACCCCCACCTAAAATATCCATTCATTTCCTTCTCAAAAAATCCATACGGAACATTAGACAAACGAATAACGTGTTGAATTTTCGATTCTTCATTAAATTGTTGTTGCTTCTCTTCTTTTTCTTTATTTTTTAATTGTTTTTTGACTTTTTGTTTTGTTTCTTCATTCTCTATTTTTAATTTTTTGTTTTCAATTTTTTCATTTTCAATATCACTATTTAATTCACCATTTAATTCATCTTTCACGCGTTGTCTTTTCCTTGTTTTAATCATTTTTAATTGCTAAAACTTTTTGTTTAAATTAAACTTAAAAACAAAAACACATTTAATTAATGCACAACATTCGACCTTAACACAAACATTTGTTTCTTCAAAAACATTAAAACAAACTTGAAAACAACATGTTCAGAAAAAAGTTTATTTTAAAGTTTGTTTTTAAGAAAACCAAGTTTATTTAAAGTTTGATTTTCTGTTTTATTTAAACTTTTTCTTTGTGTTTCCAAAAAAATTACTACTTCCAAGTTTTAATTAAAGTTGTTTTAGAATGTTTTATTTAAAGTTGGTTTTTATACTTCTAAAAATTATTTTCAGGTTTGTTTTAATGTTGAAAAAGAAAAATGTTGTGCATTAATTTTAAAAATTAATTAAAAATAATATATTGTGTACAACAATAATAATAAATAATTTTTAAATATTTAAAATATATTTTTATATTTAAAAAAAATATCTATGCAAGAACGGCATAAAATATATAAGTGAAATTCATTTAAAAGAGAATTAGATTTTTGGGGGAAAAGATTAATTGAAATAAGGCAAAAAATATATGCTTGATATGCTGCCATTTTTTCTAAAAATAAGGAGCTGAAGTAAAAAAGAAATAAGGCTAAATACATTAATTTTAAATTCAACAACAAATAAGGGAAATTATAAGGTAAAGATATAGATTGGTCGAATCTAATTTTAAATTTTTAAATAATAATTTTGGAGAGATGGAAAGAGGTCATGCACATATTTTCAAGTTAAATGATTAAAAGGAAAAGAAAAACTTTGCAAAAAATTATTCAACTAAAAAAACTAGTCAAAAAAATTATATTTTGATTAAACGATTTAACCAAAAAAAAAATTTTTTTAATTTTGTAATTTTAACCAATACTTCGAATGTCGTATTAAAAGTCATATACTCGTAAATATTTTGGCATTAGGAGGCCAGAAATAAAAAGCGTTACGAGCAAAAATATGAAGTTTACTTATTTTAACTTAGAATTAAATGCAAGCAAAATTCAGTTTAGTTTTTAAAAGCAAACATAACCTCTTTCCATTACAAAAAGTTAATCAATTTTGAATTTTAGATTTACGTCTAAATAATTGTTTAAATCTATTTCGTTTAGTTTTGGTGGGTAAAGAAGAATCAACACTAAGCAGTGAAGTACTTGCACTTTGTCTTGATAAAGGTCTGGTAAATGATGATGAATTTGTTGTTGGTGGTGGTGGTTGCCTTAAAAGTTTTTTTAGAATTTTAAAAAATGATTAATAAAATTAAAAATTGTCAACAGATAAAATTGTCTAGAGTCTATTTCAGCCCCCATGTCTTTAATTTAAGTTTGGTCTTTTACTAATAAACTAATATAAAAATCGAGAAAAATTTTTAAATATTCGTAGATTATCCCCCATAGTTCAATTTACGTACAATATTTTCAACATCAAAGCTGTCTAAAATTTGCGCCTTTACCCTATTTCCTCAGTTATCCCCTCCAGCGAGACTGATAAAATAATCACCCAATTTTAGACACAGCTTATTCAAGTAAACACACTAGTATTTTGTAAGTGTGTATTTTAATCAAAAAAAATTATCTATAGTATCTATAGTAAGCTTTGGAGGTAATCAACGGGTTGTATAAAACCTCAAAAACTCACTTATATCCAAAGTTAAAATGAGAGTCATTTTCATAATGTTGGACATCACCCCCATTAGTAATTGGAGGGTATTCATCTAGACAAGAAGAAGTGTTATTATGTAATTGTGGTTGTTGTTGTAATTGAGGTTGGCGCATTCTTTCAAGTTGTTTAATTCCCATAATTGGATTTGTTTCGAGAGATTGGACAACTCCTTAAATAAAATTTAAAATTTACAAATTTTGGGATTGGGAAGAAAATAAAATGAAAATTATAATGAAAATTAAAGGGAAGAGTAATTTTTTAAAATTGTTTTGTTAAAATGTAATGAACACGTAAATAAAAAAATTTCTTTTCTATAAGAATCTTTCGAACTTTTCGGCACTAATTCGTTTTTTTACACGAACCAAAGGGATGATGACTAAAATGACTAAAATTGATGACTAAAAATTTTTTTAAATTTTTAGAAAAAAAATTCGTGACTAAAAACCGGAAAATCTCATTTTCACCAAAATGTTAGTATCAGGAATCGGAAACTTTGGTCCGGACCTGGCCCTCTAAACAAAGCCTGAGACAAAAAATAATGTAAGAACAGTTATCTTTTCTTTAAGGTTATAAAAGTAGAGAATACTGTTGTCTGATCCGGAACCCAAATCCAAGAAAAAGGTTGGATATCCAGAAATTTCTGGTATGGATATCGGATCCGGATATCCAAAATTTCGGATCAGGATAATCGAGGATTTCCAACTATCCGGCAACTCTAGTAAAGAAGGCATTATAATCCCTCGATAAGACAGCCGAAAATAATTTCTTGTCAAATTAAAAAGTTATTTACGTGATCATATAAAATATAAAAAATATATTAAATAATTTCAGCATCACTAGAAGAGGAGGAAGGACGGGATGATGAAGATAGTGAAATATTATTATTACAATCTTGTTGTGAATATAAATTTTGAGAAAATAAAATATTGGAAAAACGAATTGGGGAAGAAAAATTTTGGAAAGAAAAAAATTGTTGAGAAAAAGAAATATTAGAAGTTGAATTGCCCATTTGTGAGGAGGAAATGTTGTCAGTTACTGAAAGGGGTTAATTTTAAAAGAAGATTATGTAGAGCTTTAAGAACTGGCAAAAATTTAAACTTCACCCATTTTCTCGAATATAAATATTTTAAACCAGGGCTCCGATCGACAAAATTCCAATTTAGAGTACAAAAATCTCGATTTTAAAGGACATAGGGACGAAATTTCCAAATTTAAAGTACACTCCAAATTAAATTAGAAAATATTTATTCGTCCTCAAATCCTTCTCTCCTAAATTAATCTTTTCTAATAATTAGGGGTGCCAATTATATGGAAATCCATATTTTTTTCCTGAATTCCTATGACTGTGAAATGCACAAAAAACATGTTTTTGGCATGATTTAGGGTTTCTAGAATGGTCTTTAAAATCCATATTTTCCATATTTTTCCATATTTTGGATTTATGCCCATATTTTCTATATTTTGTCCATATTTAGCCTTTATATCCATATTTTATATCAATATTTCTACTTTTTTGAATATTTTGGTCCATATTTGGTCAATTTTTGGAAAATTTTAAAGATTTTGGAAATTTTTTGTCAAAAAATTTTTTCAAAAATTTTTCGGAAAAATTTATTTTCAAAAAAATTTTAACACAAATTTTAAATCCATTAAATCTTCTAAAATGCTCTTAAAATGCAAATTTATAGGCAAAATAATCGTTTTCTACTTAAAATACTAATTTTTAAAATATCTTTTCACTATTTTTTGATCCATATTTCAGTATTTTATATCCATATTTAGTGTTTATTTCCATATTTATATCCATATTTTAGGATTTTATATCCATATTTTATGGCCATATTTTTCGATTTTATATCCATATAATTGGCACCCCTACTAATAATCTCTTGTTTCAACTGAGCATTTTGTGCATTTCAATGCGCTTTTTTGTGGCGCCGAAGGCGCCAAAAAATCTATTTTCAGCGCCGCAGGCGAAAATTTTGAGAATTTTGGAAGTCCTTAAGCCAGATTTCTTCCATTTTCAGCGCCGCAGGCAAAAATTTGGAGAATTTCCGAAGACCAAGAAGCCATATTTTTCTCTTTTCAGCGCCGCAGGCGAAAATTTAGGGAATTTTGGAGGTCCTTAAGCTGATTTCTTCCATTTTTTTCAAAATGTTGATTTTAAAGTACATACTTTCAATAAAGTACAAATTCAGTTTCGTAAGTACGGAGGTCGATTTTAAAGTACTGTACTTTCAAATAAAGTACGAATCGGAGCCCTGTTTTAAACCTTTTGTTGTTTTTAAGCCATTCCCGTTCCTTCCCCCTCAACTCTCTTGTATTTTCCCCTCGCTTTTGTTGACGAGAATCCGTTCCGGTTTTTACCCCTCACATTTTACTTTATTTTGAAAATAAGCATTTTAATTGGATTTGTTGTATGTATTTTCTAGTCTTATCCCCAAGTCCCCCGTGCTATCCATACAGTTACAACGGAGTTATTTTTAGAAAAAAAATTTGAAAAAATTCAAAAAAAATCCCCCTACCAAAAGGTCCAGTAATCGAAAAACCACAAAGAGATTCAATTTTCATCCATCTTTGCACCAATTCTTCAATTCCATGTTTAATTTTTTCCATTCTAGCTTTTAAACTAAAAATTTTTGTATCAATATCATCAGTTCCAGAAGTTGCTCCAGTTGCCAATTTTAATGAATTTACTATACTACTTTGCTTTTTCCTCATTTTATCAACCAATTCCATTGCTTCACGCATTTCTAACAAACAATCTGTCCGTTGTTTGTCTAAAATTGAAAGTAATATTCAAGTACATATGTTGGCCATTCCCTCTACATACTTTCATTCCTCTGCCTCCTTCCTATTTATTATCGTTCCCACGAGAATACTTTTTTGTTCACCCTAAGATTCCGGGGATTTTGCTCCTCTGGTTCGGTTCTAGATAAAACTGAAGATTTCCAAAAACCGACAACCCTACTCCAAAACAACCCTCTTACCTTTCTCATTTCATTCCTTTTCAACAGAGGTGGGTCGGAACAGTCAGAGGTGTCGGAAATCGGTATTCCGACCCATCCCTGCTTTTCAAGTAAACGGAAGAAAGGGGAGATAAGGGCACCAAAATAATTTATGGAAACCGATATACTTATGTTAGAGATTCAGTCATTCAGGTAAAATAAGATGAAAATATGGGGAAAAATACATAAAAATAATTAAAAATCACAATTTAAATACCTAAATACGCTGATTCAATTTCATAAGTTCGCCTAAGCAACGTCTGAAGAAAAAAGAAATGTTCTCCTCCATCCATCCCTCCAATACTTAAATCACCTCCTCCAACACCCAAAAGTTTTTGCTCATTTTCAAAATCCAAAACTGGATTCTTAAAAAAAAATTTTTTTTTATTTTAAGTTAAAAAATAAATACATAATTATATCCTTTTGCAGCATTAACCTCTCCATTGCTATCTTCTGTAGGTTGTTGTTGTTGAACTTTATTTTCTTCTTCAAATCTGAAAATTTAATTTAGCTTAAAATATGGAGATTCAAAATCAAGATAATTTTGAGAAAAAAATTTTAACAAAAAATTTTGATTTATCCGGTCTTGATTTATCCGGTCCGGGTTTACTCGGTAAAGTACAGTGAACTCTGGCAGAAAAGATTACGCCGGACTACGACCTACCAAAGTTATTAACCAACTTATCAGCAGTAAGTTGATAAGTTGATAAAATTATCAACAATCAACGTATGGCACTCATTTGACCCTTTTTTAAAGAAATTCGACATTTTGACTTATTTTGGCCGTGTCGACATTTTTACCATTCCATATTTTAACGATTCCATATTTTAACCCATTTTAGACTATTCGATATTTTAACGTTTCCATATTTTAACGATTCGGTATTTTAACCCCTTTTTAGCCTATTCGCGATTTTAACCATTCCATATTTTAACGATTCCATATTTTGTACCGGAGCCAATTTTTTCCTTACGATTCTCTCCAGGTTCAATAATATTTCCAAATCTCTTTCCACCCCTTATACATTTAGGTATTTTATCTTGATCAACAACAGAACATCTCAACTTCTTTTCCGCCAACAAATAATTATTCATTGATTTTGCAGCTATTTCTGCTACTTTTTCATTTTTGAATTCAACATAGGCAAAGCCTGTATGATGACCCTAGAAAAAATTTTTTTAATATTTTTATTATTTTTTCTCACTCTTTTGCTCCGAATAACGCGAACACGTTTGACATCACCAAATTGACTAAAAATAAATATTAAACTTGTTATGAATGTTGCAAAACTTTGTCTTAAACAAAAACAAACAAGATTCGAACTTTGACCAACATTAAAACAAACTTGAAAACAACATGTTCAGAAAAAAGTTTATTTTAAAGTTTTTAAATTTATTACTGTTTAATGTAAGTTTTATTCCACTAAAAATGTTTTCCAAGTTTGTTTTTGTTTTAAAGTTGTTCTGTTTCACAAAACATGTTTTCAAGTTTATAATAAAAGTTGAACATGTTTTATTTAAAGTTGGTTCATTAAAAATAATAAACTTTAAACAAAACATGTTCAGACAAGCTTGTTTCAAATGTTTGTTTCATTCGACAAAAACAACATGTTTTTAAATTACCCCCACCTAAAATATCCATTCATTTCCTTCTCAAAAAATCCATACGGAACATTAGACAAACGAATAACGTGTTGAATTTTCGATTCTTCATTAAATTGTTGTTGCTTCTCTTCTTTTTCTTTATTTTTTAATTGTTTTTTGACTTTTTGTTTTGTTTCTTCATTCTCTATTTTTAATTTTTTGTTTTCAATTTTTTCATTTTCAATATCACTATTTAATTCACCATTTAATTCATCTTTCACGCGTTGTCTTTTCCTTGTTTTAATCATTTTTAATTGCTAAAACTTTTTGTTTAAATTAAACTTAAAAACAAAAACACATTTAATTAATGCACAACATTCGACCTTAACACAAACATTTGTTTCTTCAAAAACATTAAAACAAACTTGAAAACAACATGTTCAGAAAAAAGTTTATTTTAAAGTTTGTTTTTAAGAAAACCAAGTTTATTTAAAGTTTGATTTTCTGTTTTATTTAAACTTTTTCTTTGTGTTTCCAAAAAAATTACTACTTCCAAGTTTTAATTAAAGTTGTTTTAGAATGTTTTATTTAAAGTTGGTTTTTATACTTCTAAAAATTATTTTCAGGTTTGTTTTAATGTTGAAAAAGAAAAATGTTGTGCATTAATTTTAAAAATTAATTAAAAATAATATATTGTGTACAACAATAATAATAAATAATTTTTAAATATTTAAAATATATTTTTATATTTAAAAAAAATATCTATGCAAGAACGGCATAAAATATATAAGTGAAATTCATTTAAAAGAGAATTAGATTTTTGGGGGAAAAGATTAATTGAAATAAGGCAAAAAATATATGCTTGATATGCTGCCATTTTTTCTAAAAATAAGGAGCTGAAGTAAAAAAGAAATAAGGCTAAATACATTAATTTTAAATTCAACAACAAATAAGGGAAATTATAAGGTAAAGATATAGATTGGTCGAATCTAATTTTAAATTTTTAAATAATAATTTTGGAGAGATGGAAAGAGGTCATGCACATATTTTCAAGTTAAATGATTAAAAGGAAAAGAAAAACTTTGCAAAAAATTATTCAACTAAAAAAACTAGTCAAAAAAATTATATTTTGATTAAACGATTTAACCAAAAAAAAAATTTTTTTAATTTTGTAATTTTAACCAATACTTCGAATGTCGTATTAAAAGTCATATACTCGTAAATATTTTGGCATTAGGAGGCCAGAAATAAAAAGCGTTACGAGCAAAAATATGAAGTTTACTTATTTTAACTTAGAATTAAATGCAAGCAAAATTCAGTTTAGTTTTTAAAAGCAAACATAACCTCTTTCCATTACAAAAAGTTAATCAATTTTGAATTTTAGATTTACGTCTAAATAATTGTTTAAATCTATTTCGTTTAGTTTTGGTGGGTAAAGAAGAATCAACACTAAGCAGTGAAGTACTTGCACTTTGTCTTGATAAAGGTCTGGTAAATGATGATGAATTTGTTGTTGGTGGTGGTGGTTGCCTTAAAAGTTTTTTTAGAATTTTAAAAAATGATTAATAAAATTAAAAATTGTCAACAGATAAAATTGTCTAGAGTCTATTTCAGCCCCCATGTCTTTAATTTAAGTTTGGTCTTTTACTAATAAACTAATATAAAAATCGAGAAAAATTTTTAAATATTCGTAGATTATCCCCCATAGTTCAATTTACGTACAATATTTTCAACATCAAAGCTGTCTAAAATTTGCGCCTTTACCCTATTTCCTCAGTTATCCCCTCCAGCGAGACTGATAAAATAATCACCCAATTTTAGACACAGCTTATTCAAGTAAACACACTAGTATTTTGTAAGTGTGTATTTTAATCAAAAAAAATTATCTATAGTATCTATAGTAAGCTTTGGAGGTAATCAACGGGTTGTATAAAACCTCAAAAACTCACTTATATCCAAAGTTAAAATGAGAGTCATTTTCATAATGTTGGACATCACCCCCATTAGTAATTGGAGGGTATTCATCTAGACAAGAAGAAGTGTTATTATGTAATTGTGGTTGTTGTTGTAATTGAGGTTGGCGCATTCTTTCAAGTTGTTTAATTCCCATAATTGGATTTGTTTCGAGAGATTGGACAACTCCTTAAATAAAATTTAAAATTTACAAATTTTGGGATTGGGAAGAAAATAAAATGAAAATTATAATGAAAATTAAAGGGAAGAGTAATTTTTTAAAATTGTTTTGTTAAAATGTAATGAACACGTAAATAAAAAAATTTCTTTTCTATAAGAATCTTTCGAACTTTTCGGCACTAATTCGTTTTTTTACACGAACCAAAGGGATGATGACTAAAATGACTAAAATTGATGACTAAAAATTTTTTTAAATTTTTAGAAAAAAAATTCGTGACTAAAAACCGGAAAATCTCATTTTCACCAAAATGTTAGTATCAGGAATCGGAAACTTTGGTCCGGACCTGGCCCTCTAAACAAAGCCTGAGACAAAAAATAATGTAAGAACAGTTATCTTTTCTTTAAGGTTATAAAAGTAGAGAATACTGTTGTCTGATCCGGAACCCAAATCCAAGAAAAAGGTTGGATATCCAGAAATTTCTGGTATGGATATCGGATCCGGATATCCAAAATTTCGGATCAGGATAATCGAGGATTTCCAACTATCCGGCAACTCTAGTAAAGAAGGCATTATAATCCCTCGATAAGACAGCCGAAAATAATTTCTTGTCAAATTAAAAAGTTATTTACGTGATCATATAAAATATAAAAAATATATTAAATAATTTCAGCATCACTAGAAGAGGAGGAAGGACGGGATGATGAAGATAGTGAAATATTATTATTACAATCTTGTTGTGAATATAAATTTTGAGAAAATAAAATATTGGAAAAACGAATTGGGGAAGAAAAATTTTGGAAAGAAAAAAATTGTTGAGAAAAAGAAATATTAGAAGTTGAATTGCCCATTTGTGAGGAGGAAATGTTGTCAGTTACTGAAAGGGGTTAATTTTAAAAGAAGATTATGTAGAGCTTTAAGAACTGGCAAAAATTTAAACTTCACCCATTTTCTCGAATATAAATATTTTAAACCAGGGCTCCGATCGACAAAATTCCAATTTAGAGTACAAAAATCTCGATTTTAAAGGACATAGGGACGAAATTTCCAAATTTAAAGTACACTCCAAATTAAATTAGAAAATATTTATTCGTCCTCAAATCCTTCTCTCCTAAATTAATCTTTTCTAATAATTAGGGGTGCCAATTATATGGAAATCCATATTTTTTTCCTGAATTCCTATGACTGTGAAATGCACAAAAAACATGTTTTTGGCATGATTTAGGGTTTCTAGAATGGTCTTTAAAATCCATATTTTCCATATTTTTCCATATTTTGGATTTATGCCCATATTTTCTATATTTTGTCCATATTTAGCCTTTATATCCATATTTTATATCAATATTTCTACTTTTTTGAATATTTTGGTCCATATTTGGTCAATTTTTGGAAAATTTTAAAGATTTTGGAAATTTTTTGTCAAAAAATTTTTTCAAAAATTTTTCGGAAAAATTTATTTTCAAAAAAATTTTAACACAAATTTTAAATCCATTAAATCTTCTAAAATGCTCTTAAAATGCAAATTTATAGGCAAAATAATCGTTTTCTACTTAAAATACTAATTTTTAAAATATCTTTTCACTATTTTTTGATCCATATTTCAGTATTTTATATCCATATTTAGTGTTTATTTCCATATTTATATCCATATTTTAGGATTTTATATCCATATTTTATGGCCATATTTTTCGATTTTATATCCATATAATTGGCACCCCTACTAATAATCTCTTGTTTCAACTGAGCATTTTGTGCATTTCAATGCGCTTTTTTGTGGCGCCGAAGGCGCCAAAAAATCTATTTTCAGCGCCGCAGGCGAAAATTTTGAGAATTTTGGAAGTCCTTAAGCCAGATTTCTTCCATTTTCAGCGCCGCAGGCAAAAATTTGGAGAATTTCCGAAGACCAAGAAGCCATATTTTTCTCTTTTCAGCGCCGCAGGCGAAAATTTAGGGAATTTTGGAGGTCCTTAAGCTGATTTCTTCCATTTTTTTCAAAATGTTGATTTTAAAGTACATACTTTCAATAAAGTACAAATTCAGTTTCGTAAGTACGGAGGTCGATTTTAAAGTACTGTACTTTCAAATAAAGTACGAATCGGAGCCCTGTTTTAAACCTTTTGTTGTTTTTAAGCCATTCCCGTTCCTTCCCCCTCAACTCTCTTGTATTTTCCCCTCGCTTTTGTTGACGAGAATCCGTTCCGGTTTTTACCCCTCACATTTTACTTTATTTTGAAAATAAGCATTTTAATTGGATTTGTTGTATGTATTTTCTAGTCTTATCCCCAAGTCCCCCGTGCTATCCATACAGTTACAACGGAGTTATTTTTAGAAAAAAAATTTGAAAAAATTCAAAAAAAATCCCCCTACCAAAAGGTCCAGTAATCGAAAAACCACAAAGAGATTCAATTTTCATCCATCTTTGCACCAATTCTTCAATTCCATGTTTAATTTTTTCCATTCTAGCTTTTAAACTAAAAATTTTTGTATCAATATCATCAGTTCCAGAAGTTGCTCCAGTTGCCAATTTTAATGAATTTACTATACTACTTTGCTTTTTCCTCATTTTATCAACCAATTCCATTGCTTCACGCATTTCTAACAAACAATCTGTCCGTTGTTTGTCTAAAATTGAAAGTAATATTCAAGTACATATGTTGGCCATTCCCTCTACATACTTTCATTCCTCTGCCTCCTTCCTATTTATTATCGTTCCCACGAGAATACTTTTTTGTTCACCCTAAGATTCCGGGGATTTTGCTCCTCTGGTTCGGTTCTAGATAAAACTGAAGATTTCCAAAAACCGACAACCCTACTCCAAAACAACCCTCTTACCTTTCTCATTTCATTCCTTTTCAACAGAGGTGGGTCGGAACAGTCAGAGGTGTCGGAAATCGGTATTCCGACCCATCCCTGCTTTTCAAGTAAACGGAAGAAAGGGGAGATAAGGGCACCAAAATAATTTATGGAAACCGATATACTTATGTTAGAGATTCAGTCATTCAGGTAAAATAAGATGAAAATATGGGGAAAAATACATAAAAATAATTAAAAATCACAATTTAAATACCTAAATACGCTGATTCAATTTCATAAGTTCGCCTAAGCAACGTCTGAAGAAAAAAGAAATGTTCTCCTCCATCCATCCCTCCAATACTTAAATCACCTCCTCCAACACCCAAAAGTTTTTGCTCATTTTCAAAATCCAAAACTGGATTCTTAAAAAAAAATTTTTTTTTATTTTAAGTTAAAAAATAAATACATAATTATATCCTTTTGCAGCATTAACCTCTCCATTGCTATCTTCTGTAGGTTGTTGTTGTTGAACTTTATTTTCTTCTTCAAATCTGAAAATTTAATTTAGCTTAAAATATGGAGATTCAAAATCAAGATAATTTTGAGAAAAAAATTTTAACAAAAAATTACTCCTCTCGTTATTTTTTCTGCAAAATTAAACTAAAAAAATTTTTGAAATGGTTTGGAAGAGTCAATTTTTTCAAACATATTTTAAAGTTTTTAATCTTTTTACATTATTTAATAAGCGAAAAAGAAAGATTGGACCGATCTCTCAAGGAAATTGAGAATGAACCCTATGTACCATATCCCTAAAAGTTAAATATAAAGTCCAAAAATATCCAGACATGGCTTCCAAGTTCCCTTACAAAATGTACATGTAATCAGTCGGAACCAAAAAAGAAAGGAACCTTAACTCTTTTTAAGCCTTAAAGTCAATAAACAAAAACTCTCTTAACGTGTTCCCAGTAAGAAAAAATAAAAAAAATTAAAAACAAACTTTTGTTGTTGATGTACTCCCTCAAAATCAGTCTCCATATCCCTCAATTTACTCAATCTGGTCGATAATTCTTCCATTTGTTTTTTTGCTCTATTTTTGTATGCTTTGAATATAATCAATAAACTAATTAAACAAATAAGTAGACTAGCCAAAGCAATATCTTTAATTAAAGAAGAAGAATCTTGAGATCCAAATAAAACTAAATCCAAAGCTTTTAATTGAAGTTTTTGACGATGAACAGAATTTTTAATATCCAGAGAATTAAATATTGATGAATTTTGAGCTGCCAATCTGGAAAAATAAAAAAATTTTTGGGGAAAAGAAAAACAATTAAAGCCCTATTTTATGTAGACCACCAATGTTTGTTGACAACCTCCTCCCCTCCCCACATTATCCAAACAAATTAAACATACTACTCTTTTCTAAATTGGTTGGATAATAAGGAGTTGAAAAATATAGAAAGGTCAACTTAAAGCCTAACAATATGTAAAAGTCAAAAAGGAAAAAGAAATTGGAAAAAAAGTCTTTCAGAAATTGAAGGAATTTTCAGTAAATTTTAAAGAAAGACCTGTTTTTAAAAAAAGACCAGTAAAAAATCAAAAGATGTAAGGGGTAGTCAAAATATTTTTTACTTCGATTCCATCATAGAAACCAAAGATATACTTAAAAAAAATTTTTAAAACCTCGGAAAATCAATTCCAGTAATTCCTTCCCTCATAAAATTATTGACATATTGAGGCAATTTTACTCCATTTACCAGCCAATCGATTACTTAAATTTTTGATTTAAAATTAATATTTAACAAAAAAACCTTGATTCTCGTCCCATTCCCTAACATTTGATTGAAACCAAGCATCCCAAAGATCATCAACAGTTATTGACTCATCATTCCCATGAAAAGCTTTTTCTCTTTTTTCGCGTTCAGATTCGCCAAATTTTAAATCTTCTGTTAAAAACTGAAAAAAAAATTTAGATGAAAAGGATGAGATATTTTTAAGTAAAATTTGATAAATTATTTCAGGAAAAATTATGAAAAAATAGTAAGGGAAATTTCAATTGTTTTTAATCAGTCACAATTAATTGTAATTGTTATTGAGCTATTGCGTACTAGAGACTGGCCTGGGTCTGGACCAAGAGCTGGGTTTTTCCTGGGCTAAGGCCAAGGATCCGACCCAGGTCAATAAATCAGACGGGGAACCCAGGAACAGGCCCAGTTTCAAAAATTCCGATCTCTATTGCGGACTCAATTTTTCGAAGAGGTGGCAGTCTCTGTTTTTGTTCCATTATCAAAAAAATTCTATTTCTACCAAAAGTTGTCTTGTCTTATTGCTAGTTCTAGCTTTCACGGACGAATAAAATAAAGCTTTCTTTGAATCCTCAAAAAAAAAGTTTGCAAAATTCCAAACCAAATTTACAATTGCCTACCCAAATATTCTCCCAAAAAAACTTAAAAATCCGATCAAATATAAACCTACATCTGCCGATTCATAGCGTTCAATAGAGCCAGACTGGTCATTATCCAAAACACCATGAATTGCCTTTATTGCCAAATATCCTTCTTGATCTCTTAATTTTTCGTCTTCTGAAGTTATTTGGATATCTAAAATTGAAAAATAAGAGAAATAAAAATATAATTAGAAAATATGTAAACTTTTTGTCATTTTATCCAATTTAGCAGAAATAAAAAATAATTGAAGAATTGTTACAAGTGAAAGAAACATTCTGAAAATTAGCTAATAAAAATTTAAAAAAATATTTATGGACAAAATATGTATTTAATCGCAATTTTGAATTCGTTAACAGTTGTGGAACAGAAGTGGCACAAGAGCTGGACTCGATCCGGTGACCAAAATCTTGGCCGGAATTGCTCCAAAGATCGCGTAAATCCGAATTCCAAACTCACAATCAGGAAAAATCTTGCCGGATCCTGTCGGATCAGGGATGAGCGCAAGAGACAATCTAAAAAACGCAAAAAGCAAAACGCAACGCAAAGCCAAAATTTAACGCAAAATGCTCACCCTTGATACAAATTGATAAAAAAATAAGGGTGTACCCTTTTGTCTTTTGGACATTTTTACATTTCTGTATTTCGTTATTCGGATGTAGCAATTTTTTCTTTTACTTACCTTCGTTATTTAAATTTATTAACACATCAAAAGGAACAAAAATTACTTTTAACTTTTGTTGTGTCTTTTAATTGTTAACGAGTATTGATTGATTCTTTTTTTAATTTGTAGGTGTCTTGACTGGCGGGACGGATGATGAAAAGTGAATGGATGTCGAAACAAGATGTTAATAAACGGTTGGATAGTAAGTTTGTATTGTTTCTTTTTTGAACTTTTTTGAGTGTGTTTTGATCAGATCACCAGGTGTTTTTCTAAATTTTGGATTGGAGTTTTCTTGGGGGTTTTTCGATCCAAAATCCTCTTCATTCTTGAAAAACAGCTCTGATCAAAACAAAGATGTTAACGTTGGAAAGCTTTTCCCAATTGGAGCCGGTGAAATTGTCTTTTGGACCTGAATAAATTGTCTAGCATGTTATCTCTGTTTAATAATATGTATGTAGATTACCTATTATTCCAAATCAATCAATCTCGCCTTTATCCTTCCAACAGACCAAAAAAATTTTATTTTCCCATAATACTCCCATGAAGGAGGATATAACAAAGAAAGGCCTAATCAATTAGATCCAAAATTGAATATTGCCTTAAGATTGCCCCTTAAGTGATAAGAGGGAAAAATAAATTGACAAGCAGGGCTGCACGCAATTGAAAAAATGTTCCGCAGCCGCAACTCGCAATTTTAATTTTAAAATCCGCAAACGCAATCCGCAAGTCAAGAAAAACACGCAATCCGCAATTGCGTGCAGCCCTGCTGACATTTTTTCTGGGTAATTTGTTGTTCTTTTTGCCTAATTTTAAAATATATATGTCAATTTCTAACCCTTTTCTTCAATTCTAAGGTATCTTTGGCGAGTATTCTGCATTCGTGGTTAGGCCAGATGATCAACAACAATTTGTTCAACAGTCAAAATTGTTGGAAAATAACTATAAATCTAATAAAATTTGTAAAACTGAAATTATACGGGATGAAAGACAATCTAATGTCGATAACCAAACTCAATCTAGGTTTGATTTTTTTAAAAAACTTCGGTTTGCGTCCAGTTTGTGTATCCTACAATATTGTGTAATTGGTTTTCTTTGCTTTTTTGAAAGCTGGGTTTGAGTTTCTTTTTGTTTTTTGTCCTCAAAATTTAATTGATCTAGGGCTGGCAATTAGACTATCCGACTAATTTGGCTAGCTATTATCGATTTTAAAAAGTTCGTTAACGCATGGTTAGGTGTTCATAAGTTTCGACACAAGAAACGTTAAGATTAGGGTACCGGTCTGATCCGAAAGATCAAGTCGGGCATCAAATTTTGGCCCGAAAAAGACTCGGTCTGGGCGGTTCGAAAAAACGAGGCCAGAAAAAAATGACTCGAACGTCGGCCAGACTCGGCAAAGAAAAGCTTTCTCATTAATTTCCTTATTTTCCAGTTCAAATATCAATTCAATGATTGGACAACTTGTCAATATATCTAAACCTCTTTCACCTGTTACCTTTGCACAAAATGAGTCTAATCAACTTGCCAATGGATTTGAAGCAACAAAAGAGGATGAATTTTCTAATAAAAGTGAAAAGTAAAATTTTTTTGAATTATTGGGTATTTAATTGGTTGTGTTGAAGGTTTAAATCGGGTATTTTTTGGGCTTTTCTGTTAACTTTTAACATTCTGAACTTTCTTTTAAATATTTTAATGGACAAGGTAGCATTGTGAAAAGGGGTTATTAAATTAGTCTGTTTTAAAGAGAAGGTGTTTGCATATTGTTTAGGGTTGTCAACTCGACTTATGAGTTTAGTTGGTTTGCTGGTTTTTCCCCGAAAATTAAGACTAGTTTTGTTAGAAAAAATTAATTTTTTGCCTACTAGTATTTACATATCTTCGAGTCTGCACCAAAGCTGTGTCGAAATTTCGATTTTTGATTTTTGACGTTTTTTTCTTCCGATTTTTGATTTCGAATTTTGAAGATATTTTTGTTTTAACGCAGCTCTGGTCTGCACTTTTTAAATCGAAAATGAATTAAAAATTGTTCCTTTGGAAATCAAGGAAAAAAAAGTTTTAACTTAAAAACCTGGGAATTGCTAGGGACCTTTTTAATTTTTTGACTTTTTTTTGATTTCCCAAATTTTTTTCAGATTTGGGCCAGATTTGGATACAATTTTGGAACAAATTTCTCGTGTTTCTCCTCTTCTATCGCCAATTGTCAATATTTCTACTTGTTTAAATGAAAATAATTCTGATTCTTTGGATAATTTAAAACAAGAAATTAATGATGCTATTACCTCTAAAAGTGGCCAGAATGGATCAAAAAATAATTTGAAGAGATCGAATACTGACGGTTTGATTTTTAATTTTTGTAGATTTTGTTTTCTATTTTTCTTTGGGTTCTTTTTTATTTTTTAAAAGGTTTTCTGTCCTTGAACTTATATTCGATTAAGTTTCAAGGATAGTATTTACTAGGGTTGTTCACGACCGGTTTCAATCCCAAAAATTTTGATATTTTCCAAAAGTTTCCCGATTTTACAAAATTTAAAAAACCGAAAACCTCTAAAAATGGGTGGTTTTATTAAAAATTCCCCCAAAATAAAACCGGTATTTTTCTAAAACTCAAAAGCAAAAACCGGGTTTTTAAAATTTGGATTAACCGAAAACCAGGAGATATCGGTTAATAACCGGTAGCAGGCCCGTAGCCAGGGGGGGGTGAGGGGGGGAATTCCCCCCCCCCCCCCGAAATGGGAAAAAGGAAAAAATTTGGGGAAGGGCTGGGGCAAAAAAAGTGAATTTTTTTGGCCTACGGCCTCTGAAATTTAAAAAATTTTCGCCTGCGGCGCTAAAAAAGGAAGAAATCTGGCTTCTTTAGGTCCAAAATTCAAAAAATTTTCGCCTGCGGCGCTGAAAATCAAATTTTTGGCGCCTGCGGCGCCGAAAAAGTGAATTTTTTTGGCCTACGGCCTTCTAAAATTCTCAAAATTTTCGCCTGCGGCGCTGAAAAACCGGTAGCAGGCCCGTTTTTGGCGGCTTCGGCGCCAAAAATTTGGCGCAGAAAAAATTTTCCCCCCTTGGCCCCCCCCCCCGCCGAAAAAAAAATCCTGGCTACGGGCCTGACCGGTAGAGACAACCCTAGTTTCTACTGATTTTAAATTTTTGGTGGACACCAGGGATGTCTCGGGTTGAGGAAAATAATGGTCGAGTTTTATTTTCAAAATTTCTTCCGATTGAATTCCGAATACTCTGAGACATCCCTAGTTTTGACGAAATAGAGGCATTGGTATTATGTATTTCAGAGCAATTTTTTAATTAGTCTATCCCTTCTTACCAATTATTTATTAAAAACAAGGCTATTCCAAAAAAAATTTTTATCTACCCGATTTTCATCCAAAACTTTATTTCAAAGCAATTTTATTTTTAGAAGACACTTCTCATATACACATCTCACCAAAACGTCATAAGGATTTGCATGTAGAAGAACAACACCAACAACAATATTTTACACAAAAAGTCATTAAAAAAGAAGTTAATTCTTCAATTTATTCAATTAAACTTCGAAGCATTTCTTTAAATAAATTGCTTAATAAATTTTATCCTCAAAAAGAATTGCAAGAAGAAAATGAATTACAACAAGAAATTCAATCTGAAAGAAGTTTGGATTGTTCTACTGCTAATGCTTCAACACCTACCACACAAATTGATGTTGAACAAGCACAAAATGAAGGAGGGAATGGTCGGCAGTCTGATAATATGGTTTTAATTTTTTAATAAAGTTTTTTGAAAATTTAAGAATTGAGATTAGTTTTGTCAAAAATTTTTGTTATAGGGATTTTAATTTTTCAAAATATTAATTTTACTCTACGTTAAAGTCTAGCCTACCTGATAATTTGGTTTATAACCTAATTTTAAGACCGGTCACTCAGTTATGGTTTTATTTTTTTGATTTTGTTTATTAACAAAGTTTAAGCCAACACTAGTTAAAAGGGGGTATCCACAAACTTTTTTCTGTTTTAAAAATTTTGTTAAGACTCGCGGCAATTATTTAGTGTTAGTACTGTTAGATTTTCTTGATTTTTCTTGGAAAATTTATTTTCGGAAAAACGTGCTTTTTATATGCCGACCTAGTAAACGCAAAATATTAATTTCTGGCTACTCTTATGCTATTAAAAATCGTTATAAAAATTTTTTAATTATTGGAGAGGATCTGCAAAATGTCCATAAACTATTCAAATTTATTTTAAATTTTTTTTTAAAATTTAAACATTTTCAGTCTGATCAACCAACAAATATTTCTGATTGTGACTTCAAGATAGGATTTCCAACACCCGACGGAAAATCACCACCTTTTGATTTCTTTCAAAAAAATGCTCGTGATATTCGAAAAAGAAGCGATCAGGAGGTTTGCAAAGCATTTTTCTATTTTTTAAAATTAGCGTAAGACCTCTTGAATTTTTTATTGTTCTTTTGTGAACAACCTTCTCTAGTACAATACTAGTTAAGTTTGTGTTATTATATGTTACATGCCCCTCCCTCTCTATTTTTTTAATTTATTCTGAACCTGTTCCTATTTTCTGAACGGTTTAAGAAATTATGCGGTCATGCTATTTAGGGTAGAGTACGTCCGAGTAGTTTTGCCCTCCCCCAGTTTTAACAGTCGTTCGGGTTTTTTCGTCCTTACTCGGGCTCGAACTTGGGATCCTAATACTTATTGTTAGTGGAGAATCCTGATACTTACTCATGCCAGACAGACACAGTGTAAACCGAGTCGGATTTTCCCCCAATTACTCGATACTCGACCGTACTCTAATTTAGAGTATGTCTTTCTGATGTAGGTTTTACGATATTTGACGCAAATCTAGTCTAATTTTTATTTTAACCAAATTTAAAAATTTTTTTAAAGGGAGATCGAATTTTGAAACTTCTCTTTTCCTTTGAATCACTTGCTTATTATATAATGGCATCCTCAACTTTAACTTCAAAAACAGAAAAAATGCATTCTTCAATAGCAGAAAATACTAATTATCTCAAGTATAAATTTTAATTTTAAATTTTTTAATTTTTTTCTTTGATAGTTCTTTTTGGAATTCCTTCAAAAAACAGAAAATCACAGAATCAAAATTCCTTACTTCAATACGTACACGTTTAAAATATTTACAAATGATGATTTCTGCTTGTTTGGCTTATAATTTGTATTCATTACGTTCGGGGGTAAAATTTTTGATTTTTTTATATAAAAAATATCTATTTGGAAGGGAATCCTATTTTCCTTTTTTTCTCCCATTTTCAAACTACCTTCAGAAAAATGACGATAGTTGTAGGCCTATTTAATCAATAACCTAGTTCCTATGGGAGTCAGACTTATTGGGATTGGCATATCGGTATATTTAAATGTACGAACAGCTTCTTTACTGGTTTCACGACCTAGTACGTCCATTACATTTTTCTGTTGAAGAAAATAGTTGTTTTAGAACCACTGTAAGTTATTTTTCTCGCAGTAATCCCGATATGTCCGTCCCGATATGCCTACCTCTACCGTTCCTATACTATGAGTCCAGATACGAGTTTTAGTTTTTCATACCTTTTATCCTTCACACTTATGGCTATTTCCTCATAAATTTTTTTAATTTTTAGCAAGCTCTAAAAACTTATACAATTCTTCAACAATATGAAAAAGAGAATCCTGCAATTAGCAGACGTCCTACAAGTAGAGGAGCTACAACAGCAACAACTAATAATATTAATGGAATAAATGAAAATGGAACAGCATTAACAACAAATGGTATTGGTGGGGCAGCTACATGTTCAACAACAACCCCTTCACCTGGCTCTTCTACTCCTAGCTCTTTTAATTCTCAAACTACGGTGTGAAAAAAATTGGGGGAGATTTAAAAAAATTATTTTTTGAAGGTAACATTACCGTTAGAGGTGTACAATAGCATGTTTCAACAAATTAAAATTCTTAATCATTTAATGTGGGCAGATAAGTTGTGGAATGATGCGGAATCTCATGCTCCACAAGAGTGCAAAGGTGTGGTCGTGTAGTTATTTTTTAAATTTTTGGAGAGTTATCACTCGTTTATTCAATGTACAACTTCTAGTTACCTCCCTTTGGGATTGATTCTAGGGAAACTTATGGACCATTAAGACATAAAATTTTAATCGGATGTCGATAATGTTTGAAAAATTATTTTTGTATATTCATAAAGAATCATCCCGTTTTTTCTGTCGTTAGAGCACTTTAAAACAGTGAGCAAAGCTCCTAGCACAAATTGCCCGGAGCTTTTACAGGTTCGATTCCTGTTCCGTTGCTTTTCAATAATTGACTCCTTGTGATATTTAATTACCGTATTTATTATAATAGAATGGCCGCCATTCTATTTTTCAATACCCCTTGAAAGGGTATTAAAAAAAATACCCCTTGAAAGGGTATTTGTTTCTTTTAATTTTGGGTGAATGTAAAATAAAAATTCGTAAAATAAAAATTCGTCAATGAGGCAGCCATTCTATATTTTTTGTCAAAACATAATGAAAGGGCCTTGTATTAGAATAAATACAGTATATTAAAATTTCTGATTATTCTATCGTTGGATGGGATATATTCAAAATAACAGTCTACTAATTAATAAAAAATTTTTGTTAGAATTTTTTGAACGAGTTACCAATTTATGTTGTGGATTAAACCAAACCTCTGGATTGTCTACTATCGCAAAGTTTTTGCTAACTTCCGTCCAATGTTTGAAAAAAGAATACGGGGATAAGACTTGAATTTTAAAAAAATTAAAAGTAAATAAATTGCCAGAAGCGGGCATTTTGCGTAAATAAAAACAACAACAAAAACAAGTACCACGGGTCTTTCACCTCTAAAAATAATCCCTCATTTTATATTAAATTTAATTTGATTTTTTGTAAATTGCCGTTTTATTTTGTATTGTGGATTTAATTTTGATTAATTTTTGATTTTTTTTAAATGTTGGGAATGTCCGGGTTTGTTTCTTTTAATTTTGGGTGAAATTTAAAATAAAAAATTTGATTCTGAAACCTTTTTTGCACGTCCCAGTAATCTACCAATTTTATGGGCAATTCTGTCAAATCAACAGAATGTCCAAAAATCTAAAAAGCTCCTATAATCAAAATTTCGAGACAGTTTCTGTTTCGAATTCAAGAAAAAGTTTTCTTTAACGTTTCTGAGGTATGAAATTCTCGAATTTTCACAATCTCGGGGTATATCATTTTTCTCTAAAATTCTGAGAAATTTTCTTTCTCCGTTCTATCCTTTCTATTTTTGTCAAACATAAATAAAAAATAAATAAAACGGCAATTAATTAATTAATTAAAAAAGATATATAATCAGATTCATTTATTTTTATTCTCATCTCTCTCTAATCCTAACCGCAATTTTTTCTTAGTACAATCGAATAGGTAAATAATAAGTAGAGATATTTTGCTTATCAAATCCTCAAAAATTTATTTTTATTTGTTTTTTTTCTCATTATTTGTATTCAAGCTGGTGATTATTTTTTATATAAAATTAAATTTTTATTATTATTTTTCTAAATGCAAAATATATATTATGGTTATTTACTAAATACTACATGCACCCCGTTGTTATTTTTGCTTTTATTTTGGAGAGAGCGGATTTTTGGGTTGCAAATTAATTTGAAAGGAAATTGTAGTTTTATTTACAGTGTGTTAAGAAATTATAACCCCCCTTGAATTTTTTGTGTTTCTCTATCTTCCCGTTAGTGGATTGTTCTGAAATTTTTGCAGTAGTGTTGTAATGTATATTAAATGATATTTACAAAATATCTTTAAAAATTTGTGATCTAAAACTTTTTTATGGACGTTTTTGCAAAAAATTAGTGTTAATAAATTATAACCCCCTTTTATTAATATTTTTGTTTTACGGTCAAAAAATCCACAAAAATTTTTCTGAACATATCTACAAATATAGATGAGAAATACAAAAGAAATGAAGTTCTTATGTACTCCCATCATCAAGATCTCGAAATCCGAATATCAACGTAAAACGGGGGTAAAGGTCTTTAAAAAATATTTTCGACCTCTTATAGGGTGAGTTAAATTTTTATTTTATACTTTTTTGAAAGCTCTTTAAATTTGCTATAAGATAGTTTTTATCTCATTATACAAAAAAAATTCACCGTCGAGAGACAAAGTGATAAACTTTCAAGTCATAAAAATCACTCCAACGCCCCCAAAAAGTGACAAAAATGTAACTTATAAATTAAACTCATTATTTTTCAATGATGAATTTTTTCTTGATTATGAGATGAAAAGTATCTTGTAGCAAATTTTAAGGGCTTTCAGATAAGCCCAAAATAAAATTTTTATTTCATCTGTAAGGTGTCTAAAATATTTTTTAAAGACCTTTACCCCCGTTTTACGTTGATTTTCGGATTTCGAGATCTTGATGATGGGAGTACATAAGAACTTCATTTCTTTTGTATTTCTCATCTATATTTGTAGATATGTTCAGAAAAATTTTTGTGGATTTTTTGACCGTAAAACAAAAATTTTAATAAAGGGGGGTTATAATTTATTAACACTAATTTTTTGCAAAAACGTCCATAAAAAAGTTTTAGATCAGAAATTTTTAAAGATATTTTGTAAATATCATTTAATATACATTACAACACTACTGCAAAAATTTCAGAACAATCCACTAACGGGAAGATAGAGAAACACAAAAAATTCAAGGGGGGTTATAATTTCTTAACACACTGTAAGTTTACTTTGATTTTTAAAGGCCGAACTGAGTATTAATTTTGAATTTAAAGTCCGGCGAGAGTAATCTCTAATAGAGATCGAGCCCTCTCACTTGACCAAGTCTCAGTCATTTTTGAACTGCCTGGGTTATTCCGAAAGTCTAGAGTCACGATCCGGCTACGGTCAATCAATTAAACTCCCATGATTCTTTTTAAAGACCCGATCCCATTCTATCAATCCAATAAACAAAAAGCCTAAAAATCCGCTCTTTGCTTTTTTAAATAAAATAAAATGTTTGTTTATATTAATGCCTTTTTTAAGTCTATATATGGTCAATTTAGTTGTTTTAAGAAAATATCATCGCTTTTTTAAAAATTACTCTCAAAAATCCATCCAAATATTCCTCTTATAGAATGCGATATAATAAAAGTTTTTATGCTATAAAAATAAAATTGGTGATATAGAAGAAATTTTTGTGATTTTATATAAGGGACTAGTAGTTTATAAGGTTTTTAAAGGCAACTTGAAAGAATTTTTGGTCATTTTCTATTTTATTTGACTAGAAACGAGTGCCTCGTTGAGTTTGGTCTAAAATCAGCTAAAAGTAAACATTTTAAATGAATTTTACATACTCCATTCATCCAACGTTGGCATTGAGCGGGATAAAGGGTCGTTGGGGCTAGTTAAGTGTGCATCTAGTATTTTCTGAAAATTTTAAGTCTAAACTTAAGTTTATAAGTTTACACTTAACTTTTTTTAAATTAAAGTTTTACTAAGGTCTTCAAGTTTATTAATATTTTTCGTCAAGTTTTAGTAATATTCAAGTTTAAATTAAATTTAAGTTTAATATATTCAAGTTTGAGTGTTCAATATTTCATTTATTTAGGTTTTATTTCAGGTTTTATATTAACCAATTTTTATATTAAAGTTTATATATTAAGTTTATTATTTTAACACGTAAAATGAAACTTCAAATAGAAAACTTGCCTGATAGCGCAGTTTACAAGCTGCCTCAATTGTCTTTGCTAGTGAATTTGCTGAAGGTTCGGTATGGAAGACATAACAAATAAAATGATCAGCGGATTGAGCTACTATGAAAGCGCAGTGCCTGAAAATAGGAAAAATATTTTATTTTTGCGTCTTCTTGAAATTTTTCAATTTTTACTTTGTATCCCTTCCAATTCCCAAAAAGGAGAGGTAACGAACACGACATGAAGCAATTTGCCTTTTAACACCTTTAGCTTCAAATATAGCTATAACTGAGGGAGATATGTGGACATCTACAAGAGTCCAGCGTTCTTTTTGTACTTCTTTTAATAGTCGATCAACTGCTTCATTGAGCATTTCTATTCCGGTAGCGCGGGGTACTTAATATTAAATAAATAGATTAACCCTTGCTTCTCTCAAACCTTGAGTTACTCCAATAAAATGGCAACGAATAATTTTTTTCTGCTCTTCAATTGGCGAGGGAAGTATAGGGGTTGATTGTCCTGAAAAAATAATTAAACTTGAAAAAAAAAGTTGGTATTTTAATGTCTTTATTTAAGTTTAGTTTAATTCCAAGTTTTGTATATTCGTTTATTTCTATTCAAGTTTTATATATATATCCAATCAAGTTTATTTTCATAAATTCAAGTTTTATGTATTCAAGTTTATTTTTTCAAGTTTATTTTTCTCAAGTTTCACAAATTCAAGTTTATTTTCTTACGTGTTATTCTTCTTAAACCACCATTAAGTGAACTAGGCCTTGGCTGGCTTCTTTGTCTTATTAAAGTATTACAAACATTCCCCAAAGCCTCTGCCACCGCATTAGCAGGTTGATCGCACCGGAATACATGACAAAGCAAACGGCCTTTGTCCAGAGCAACAAAAGTGAATTCCCTTTAAATATTTACAACTTGTTTTAATTAAAGTTTATTTTAATGTTTTCAAGTTTTTTTTATAAAAACAAGTTTATTTTCAAATAAACAAGTTTATTTTTATACAAACAAGTTTATTTTTAAACCAGTTTATTTTTATGAAAACAAGTTTATTTTTCATATAAACAAGTTTATCGTTGTATAAACATGTTTTTCCAAGTTGTATCAAGTTTATTAAATTTTCCCCAAGTTTGTTTTAATATTTTAATTAAATGCCTTGGATTCTCTCTTCCAACGGCCCAACAACGAATTCTGCTAATAGGCTGTTTTGTTACAAACAATTCCCTTTCTCCTCCATCCTTTATCTCTCCATTCTTTTTTTGTACTTCTACCCCATCAGGTAAAATCGCCAAAATAGCTTCTTTCCCAACTTCATTTCGTAAACGAGTTATTGCATTATTTAAACTTGCTTGACTAGTTTCTACTCCTTCTAGTTCTGATTCTTTTAATTCTAGCTGACCAAGGTAGCGGACATTGAATTGACTTGAAGGCTGTTAAAATATGTAGAATATTGTGGGTATTTTTAATGGAAGCTCATCATTTTTGAGGCTCACCATTTTTGAAGGTTTCCCATCTCTCTTACCCCTCCCGGATATCCCATATCTGTCCATCCCTTTCATATCCAATCTCTTATTCCTCTTACCTATCCCATATCTGTCTTATCCCTTCAACATACATCCACTGCCTATAATATCTCAACTCCAATTTATCCCAAGTTTCAACCTATCCTTTCAACCTATCCCATCACCTACATTATTATCCCATACATTCTAATCTCCCACTTATTACAAATCTTCTAGCTATCCCTATGAGAATAACATGAAGATTCTTTCTCTTCTATTCAACCTACATAATCTATAGCCTCTTTATCTTTAAATTCTTCTTCTTCAGCTAAATCAACCCTCTTTTTGGTTGTTGTTTGTCTAAAAGCATGTTCTTCAATTATAGGTTGTCTAACTGGTTCTTCTTGTATTGTTGTTTGTTGTGCTGTGTCTGTAGTAGAAATTATTGGGGGAGAAGGAATTGGGGGCTTTTCTTGTATTGGGGAGGGAATTGGCTAGAAAAATTAATTTTTAAAAATTATTTTAAATTTATTTTTGCCTCTTCCAGTCGCTGTGGAGGTTGTGGCCGTTTTTCTTCTTCTAAACGGGGTCCGCTATCAACATGCCAATAATGGGAGAAGGCGGAAGGATCTAAAAAAATTAGGGGAAAAGAATATAAAAATAAGGGGAATGATATGTTTTTTGAGTGATTATGGGGGAAAATAATTTAAGTAATAGTTGCGGACAGTGCTTCGAAGCTCGTACCAAAATTCGTACTCGTACCTCGTACTCGTACTCGTACCTGGTACGAAGTACGAGTACGAGTACGAGCAAAAAATTGGAGCAGGTACGAAGTACGAGTACGAGTACGAGGCCAAAAAAAGTGAAAAGTACGAGGTACGAGGCCTGAGTACGAGCTCGTACTTCTCGTACTTGGTGTTAATAGGAAAATTGAAAGAAATATATCTAATTCCTTTCATTCGCTATCATATGAGCGGGTGGCCGAGTGGTGAAGGTGCTTGGCTGCACCAAAGTCTGTAGTGATTTAATATTGGGTCCGATTCCGATGCACGGGTCAAATAATTTTAATATTTTTTTCATAAATAACTTATTTGGCCCTATATGAAATTAGGTTGGGAATCATTTTTTTTCATTACTTTTTTCTTTACTTTTTTCCTTCCCTGACATGACATAATGGTCAGCATTTTCTTCCTTGTTCAATTACATTAAATTTGCCTGTGGCATAATCAAATGAGAGGCAGAAAAACACACACACACTGACAGACAGACAAAACAAGAACGAACTCGGACAGACAAAACACGGACGGACACGGACAAACAAAACACGGACGGACACGGACAGACAAAACACGGACGGACACCGAAAGACGAAGCACGGACGAACTCGGTCAGACAAAACACGGACGAAACTCGGACTATCAGAAATGAATCCGTGTTCTGTCTGTCCGTGTCCGTCCTTGTTTTGTGTCAGTGTTTGTTCTTCTGTCCTCTCATTTGATTATGCCACAGGCAAATTTAATGGAATTGAACAAGGAAAAAAATAATGACCATTATGTCATGTCAAGGGAGGAAAAAAGTAAAGAAAAAATGATTGAAAAAAAAACGATTCCCAACCTAATTTCATATAGGGCCACTTATTTTATAATTTTAATTTTGTTTTAAAAATTATTCTATTTTTGCATGGAAAAATGATCAGTTTTTGGCCCTCTAAAATTCTTTAAAATTTAATTGTACCTCTAAAAAGTGAGTATTTTTCGCCTACGGCCTTCCGGAATTTTCAAAATTTTCGCCTGCGGCGCTAAAAAAATAAGAAAGTTGGCTTATTGGCTTCCGAATTCTAAAATTTTCGCCTCCGCGGTGAAGAATGGAAGAACTCTGGCTTCATGGCCTTCAAAATTTTTCAAAATTTTCTCTTGCGGCGCAAAAAAATAATAGAAATCTGATTTAAATACATCCAAAATTCGCAAAATTTTTTGAAAAAAGGGATTTGAGATTAAAAGGGATATCAGGAGATTAAAATGTAAAAAGTTCGGTGGAAAGGATAAGTTGCATGTAAGAAGATGGGTAGCCCGACCCATCATGGAGGAAATATTTCTCCTTGCACTCCAAAAAACTCAAAAATTTCGCCTGCGGCGCAGAAAATGGATGAAATTGGAGGATTTATAGCTTTAAAGCCTTTCAGAATTCAAAAATTATCACATACAACGCTTAAAATTTAAAATTAGATGACCTGGGCTCCGAAAAATCATAAAAATTTTCGATTTTTTGCTTTTTCCTCAAGTACGAGTAAGTACGAGGTACGAGTACGAGGTACGAGGCCAAAAATAGGGGTGGTACGAGGTACGAGTACGAGTACGAGCAAAAAAATAAGGGTGGTACGAGGTACGAGTACGAGTACGAGGCCAAAAAAAAGAGGTGGTACGAAGTACGAGTACGAGTACGAGCAAATTTGAAATTTCGAAGCACTGGTTGCGGACACCCAATAAATATTTTACAACAAATATATGTTGATATTTTAATTTTCTTCAAGACGATCCTCTTCCAACAAAATAGTCTAATAGTGCGGCTGGTCGGTTTATTTTCCAACAATCCTCTAGAGGGTCGGTTTATTAGAAGGGGACGGTCTACTAGAGAGAGTCGCACTATTAGAAATACGGTATAATGTTTAGACCAGGGCTCTCATCGACAAAATGCCACTCAAAAGTATCAAAATCTTGATAAAAAAGTATATAGGGAGAAAATTTCCAAATTTAAAGTATACTCCAAATTAAATTGGAAAATATTTATTCGTGCTAAAATCTTTTATATTTCGCTCCTAAATTAATCTTTTCTAACCACTCAACCACCGACCTACATAATGAATGGTGAAAGAAATTATAAATAACTCTTTCCCTTTTCCTTAAAATAATTTTATTTCGAAGTAGGAGAGTGTTTTTTAAAAATAAAAGGTCTAAAAAGCCGTCTTTAGGGGTGAGTCCATCCCTGATAACTTCCGCATATAACTACACAAACACTCTTGATCCTTAAATATCGTGCCCAAATTTCACATTTTGGAGTTCAAGAAGCCAGATTTCTTCCATCTTCAGCGCCGCAGGCGAAAATCTTTTGAAATTTGGAGCCCAAGAAGACAGATTTCTTTCTTTTTCAGCGCCGCAGGCGAAAATTTTGATAATTTCGAAGGCCCAAGGCTAAAAAAATTCACTTTTTTGCCCAATCCCTTCCCCAATTTCATTCTCAATCAAATATGTTGATTTCAAAGTATATACTTTCAATAAAGTATAAATTCAATTTCTTAAGTATGGAGGTCGGTTTCAAAGTATAATACTTTCAAATAAAGCACGAATGAGAGCCCTGGTTTAGACTGTGACACAGGACCTGACCCTTCAGGCTCAATAGACTTTTGTTTTGTTCGTAAATGACAGTCTGTAAATGTTGAAAGTTCTTAGACTTTTATTAAGCCTCCAACTTTTTAGGCATTTTAGGCTTTTAGAATACAAAATCTCATAAAATTTATTGAGATAAACTATTCTTCTCACCTTCACTTATTCTGATAGGCGAATAGACAGGGCCTCGTTGCTCTTCTTCCACCTCCAATTCTTCTCCATGTTCCCCTCTCGGAACAAAATGTACACCACTATCGGGCGAAAGAAATTGGGGAGGACCGGGTTGCCTTTCCTCTTCTTCTGTTATCCACTAAAAAATTAATTTTCTTTAAATTATTCAAGAATTTCCCAAACATGTTCTTCTTCTTCTTCCTCTTCCAAAACATAATCAACAGGTGGAGGTAATCTAGCTGGTTCTTGTTCGGCATTTTTTAATTGATCCAATTGCCAATAGAAAGAATAAGGGTCTCGATGTTCTGTTATCTAATTTGGGAAATTTAAGAGATTAGAGGATTTTTAGTTAAAACCAGTCGACTCCTATTTATGTTGGAAGAGCCAAAATTCTCTCCAACTTCATAAATACACCTTTTGCTCTCCCTTTTCCTATAAAACACCATATCTTTTCTGGATCATTTATTCAGACCCAAGTTAGACATCCCGAGTGATCACAAGATTTCCAACATGCTAGAGGGATATCCCTTACATTTTTTCTTTGAAAGGAAATCTACTTCAAAGCTAGGATGATTTTCATGAGATATTCCGAGGGAAATGCGCTAATTTTATTTAACCAAAAAACTTACAACAGTTGTATCCCCAATCCTCCTAACACGTCTTAATCTGTCTGGAGGCCCTCTAAAATTTTGTTGTCGAGCAGCAGCTTCTTCTATAGCTGCCCTAGCATGTTGAAAATCGCTAGAACTATAATCTACTTCGCTTTGTTGACCTTCTTCTCTTCTTTCCCCTCCTCCTCCTTCCCTTCTTCTTCCTTCTCCAGCGCTAGTTGTTGACATTGGCCGACGACCGTTATTATTGACTTGCTTTAAAATTTTCTGTTTTTTATTAATCTGTCACAGTCCCACTTATCCCAGACTAAAAATATTACAGTTCTGAGGGGTACACCCCCAACGTACTGCAAGGCCAACCGCACAACTATAACTTAGTTCAAACTGGCCGAATACGGAACGCCCCGATATGGTTCGATCCAGCTCGTCGAGATGCATTGAACCATACCAAGGCGTCCCGGATTCGTCTATTTTGAACGAAGATATACCTCTGCGGTATGTTGAGCTATCGGTACGTTGACCTGCTGCCAATTCTGAGTTGGTCCTAAAGATGGGATAAGTGGGAGAGTTTGGGGGAATATTTGGCAAAATTAAAAAAAATTTTTTTTGAAAAAGACAAAGGTTTTAAAAGTGAATGAAAAAATTGAGAAAATAAATGATGGGCTATAAAAGGAAGAAAAAAATATATTTATTGAATAAAGAGCCAAGAAAAAATAAAAAGCGGCAACAAATAAGTATTAAATTTTAGGGCAAAGGGAATTTTCCGATATATATTTATTTATTTCTTAAAATTTGAAAAAAAAGAGGAGATGAAAAGATGGAATGAAAAAAAAGTCAATTTTATTTGTTGTTTCCTTTTCTAGAAAAAAATATTTTTGGGTGGAAAAAATTTTTTCTAAATTTTCAAAAAAATTTATAAGTAAAAAACGTGGAGAATGCGGACCACAAGAAAGTATATCCTTTAGTAACTACCAGTGGTTATTGTTTCGACCTTCCGCTGGAGGGAGTAATTAATCGAGGGAGGGTAATTATATGAGGTTTGAAATTTGAACGTGTTTTAGGGCATTTCTGAGAGGGGGTAATTATTGTTTCAATCTATAGCTAGACGGGGTAGGGTAATTATATAGAAGTGGGGTATAGAAGTGGGTAATGGGGTATAGAAGTGGGGTAATTATTTGAGGGAGGGCAATTAATACAGGTTATATGGTATTAAGATTTTCAAAAACGAACACTTCTTTTCATGAAAATTTTGTTTAAATATTCCCTATATTGTCTATTGTTTCTAAAATTTCAGAATTTTTTTTGTTGAATAAAAATAAAAAATAATAAAAATCTGGATAAAAAACAACATTTTTAAACTTTTTTTCACCCATAACTTTTGAAATATTTTACCAAAAATTTTAAAACTTTTAAAGAAGCTAGCTAACATTACTAAAGATATTCATTCAGAATTTTACAGATTTAGGCTCCTATTTTCCTATTTTATCAACACTTGCGCCAACTTCTACCACGCCAAAACGGCCCTTTCCTTAAATAATCTTTTAATATTCTTCCTTCGAGGCTTATTATATTTTTTAAAGATTTTCAAAGAAAATACTCAAGGGAATGGATAATTGTTGGGAAGATACTATTTAGTATTTTTTTGAAGAGAAGAAATGTTATTGGCACTCATTTAAAAATAGGGTAAAATTAAATAAGAAATGGAGCGTAAAATTGAATGAGTAAAAAAGAAAATGAGAAAATAAGGGTGAAAATAATATGAGAAAATTGCTTGAAAATTAATTGACGGATCTGTAATCCCAAAAATTTTAGCGTTTTCAAATTAGGATTCGATCCCCGTTCCTTGGGGCAGGGAATTCCCCGGGGAACGGAGGGAGGTCTCCCCCCAGAGCCCCCGTTCCCCGTCCCCGCAGCTCATTTCCCTTATTCCTCCCCACCCGTTCCCCCGAACACTAAATCCCCGCAATCCCCGTTCCCCGTAAACTCAACCCCACCCCGTAATATCGAACCCTATTTCAAACCTCTTTAATACCAAAAATCTCTATATAGTCAACACTATTTTATTCAACTCAAAACCACCCAAAAATATTATTTCCCCACCTCGGTAACTCGAATTTGAGCAACGTCTTCAGCAAACAACTCTTTAGGTTCGTCCCTTTCGAGTTGTCTTCGACTCCCACCAACCCCAGCAATGCCAATGCTATCTGCAGTTCTTCTACCTGATCTTTCGTTTTGACGTAATCTATCGTCGTTCTAAAAGGATAAAATTAAAATGCCTTTTTATCCTTCTCATAAATATCCCATTCAATTTTCTTATCCAACACTAATTCAAGTAGTGAGGTATAAATAGTATAAAGTAGTTATTTATATTTAAAGATCATTGCTTAGAAGCTTATACCGAAAATAATCATAGTAAAATGATGTTATTTATAAAGAGAAGCGCTTTAGAGGTAAAACAGCCCTCAGGGCACACTTGTAGGACATTAAATTTTGTGATGTCTAGGATAGTACAAAAGAGGTGGAAAAATTCGGAGAGTTTATGCTTTCAGGAATAAATCTTGTTTAGGACGTACATATTTCATGGGATGCAAAAATTCCCCTCAAACCTGAGCGAAGTCGAATATTTATTCCTTACCAAAAATTGAATGCTAGCCGTGTCAGATGTTCGAGAATAGGGCCGTCTTTGATTCACAAAGCTAATATATTCTTGTTGATCTCTTTCCCTCTCTTCGTAATCCTCCGATTGTTGCCACAGATAATTTGGTTGTTGGGGTGATTCACGTCTACTGCTTGGCCCAGCCACAGGCGTCGATTGTCCTTGGAAAGTATTTGAATGTAAATAGGTATAGGGGGAGGGCCGTTGCTGTCTTTGATGGTTGTTGTAGTAGTTTTTGTCATCCATTTGTACGTTTTCTTTTACGGCCAAACATCTACCTATCTACACACTTTTAAAAGAGAAAAGGAGAAAATGAGTGGGGGATAATGAGAGAAAGGAACAAAATTTTTTTTTGGTAAAAAAAGGGAAAAGGGAGAGATCAACGTGAGCAAAGAAGGCCTACCAAAAAATATATAAAAATATTATTATATGCTTGACTCTCGAAGGAAAGAAAGTCAGTCACCCTTTTAGTAGACTTGAGAATGTTTGCATTTATTGAGGTAAAAAAAGGAGGGAGAGGAGGGGGAAAGGTAGGGGGAAAGCCTTTCAACGCGTATTTTTGCAATGTATTTTTGTTAGACCAACATCGATCTCCTCTTCTCTTTTAAAAGTAAAAAAAAATAAAAAGAACTGATCGAGAAAAAAACAAGACTTTGACTAATTTAAGGGGTGAATTGGCAAGCAAATAGTACATACACACATTTTTATTTGAACGCTTTTCAAGAGGTTGAAAATATAAGTTGATTTGTTAAAAGCTTTGAGAGATTGTTTCGTGTCCCTACAAAGGATCGTAACATAAAAGGATCGCCACGGCTAAAAACGTTCAAAGGATCGTAACGTCTAAAAACAATTAAAGGATCGTCACGGGCAAAAAGTATTAAACGGTCGCTCATCAAAGGATCGTCCATCAAAGGATCGCCAAGGGTAAAACGTTCAAAGGATCGTTTTTGAGTCCCCACCCAAAAGAAGACGTTTGAGTCCCATAGTTTTTTAAAGATTCTTTTCGTTTATTTTGCCTCTGGCCTGTGTTCTCATATTTTTCAACTAATTTCCTATTAGCTGAATGCAAACCTGCTCATGGAAAGGGATAATATCCGGATATCAACGGATATATACGGATACGGATGGATATGGATGTTTTTTAATCAGAAGGATATGGATGGGCACGGATATGATACTCTAAATCTGCGGATATCCATCTAAAAATTTCCGCCTTCACTTTAATCCTTTCAAATCCCCCGATATCACTTTTAATCACCGTTATCAGTCTGTGGCACATAACTGCACTCAAACTGGTGCACTGAACTGGCTTTAAACAATTTTTAAAAAATGACGATCCTTTGAACGTTTTTACCCGTGACGATCCTTTGATGGACGATCCTTTAATGAACGGCCCTTTAATACTTTTTGCCCGTGACGATCCTTTAACAGGGCGATCCTTTAAAAAACGATCCTTTGTATAGGAGCCGATTGTTTTGACAATAAGAAAAGAAGTAAAAAGCTTGTTTATATATTGTATGTATGTATAGGTTTTGGTTTGAATAGTACTAAAATATAAATATCAGAATAAATCAGAATTGTAAAAATATTAAAATTGAATTTACAAATCAGAATTAATTTTTTAATTCAGAATAGTGAGAAAAGAAGAGAGACAAGAAAGAATAGAGAATTAATTAAAAATCAGAATTGTAAAGAAAAATTACAAATCAGAATTAAATAAATTAATTACAAAATTACAAATCAGAATTGTTGCGTAGTGGTGTTACTATGTTTAAATAGAACATCCAGTGTAAGTAGAGATCGGACCAAACAAGTATTTAACGTCGGAAAATTAAATATTTGATCAAACTTTACTTGATTTTATTTGATCAAATATTTGTTCGACCACTTTTAGAAAAAATCAAATATTTTCAAATACTTTTAAATTATTTAATTCTGCCATTTGTTCCATCTCTAAGTTTAAGTCCCAGTCAAGTTGTATCATACTAGGTCGGTTCATAAAAAAGTTCGTTTTTTGTTATCGCAAGTTTATTTGATCATAACTACTTTTATCCGATTTTATTTTTATCTTATTTTGTAGCCCAGAGTCTTAGCTTTATAATGATACCAAAATTTATTTTTTTTTCTGCTTTAAGAATGTTGTTAAGATTCGGGGCAATTATTGAGTACAGTTAGATTTTTTATCTGTTTTAGTTTGCTTGAGATTTATCGATTTTTCTTTGAAAATAAATTTTTGGAAAAAAACGAACTTTTTTATGAACCGACCTAGTACTAGCTAGTCCAGTCCCTGATTTCTTTCGCATTTTCCAGCCCCAATTCACCTTTGTCAACATTATGACTTTATATTTTTATTAAACTGCTAATTGGTGTGTGAGTCGATTTTTGGCAAATTTTTGGAAATTAAAAATAATCAGCCAAATTTATAATTAAAATCATATTCTGTTACATATTTTTTTACAATTTTACTATTAAATTTCTGATTTTTTTAAATTTAATTTTCCAACAAAAACAATTTTTAATAATCAAACAGCTAGTCGTCACAACATTTTTGTATAATAATTCTTTCCTTTTTTTAATTTCTGGTTACACTTCTTTTTATGGTTAATAATCTTTATTTGACGTAAAAAATAAATAAAAATAAAAGCAAAAACCAAAACCTTTGTACGCGTGCTCCTTTCGGACTTTTTATTTTCAAAAAAATATTTTTTCCTCTCAATTTACATCAAAAAGTCCACCAGTTTATGATGCAGTCAGAAGTGAACGCTCTTTATAAAACATAAAAAATACAGTCGAAAAAGGACAGAATAGAAATAAAATTCTTTTTTTCCTTTTGTAAAAGGGGGGGGGGGAGGGAAGGTGGTTGTTGTTTAGTTCTGCAAAAAAACTTGTGACGGCTAATCGCCAATTTAATTGACTATCATTGACAATAACATTTTTTAAGTAGCATTATAACCTCTCCTCCTTCACTGTTTTTTTCATTTTTATTTTTAATGATAAAAATTTATTTTTAGTTGTTGTACTTGTACTTATTTTTGCATTTCTTTATTTTCAGAATTTTTAATTTATTTTTTAAATTCTGATTTGTAATTTATAGTTTTGTAATTCTGATTTTATATTTTGTTTTTATTGTTATACCTACTACTTATTTAATTCTGATTTGTAATTCTGGTTTTTATAGATTCTGATTTGTAATTCTGGTTTTTATAGATTCTGATTTGTAATTCTGGTTTTTATAAATTCTGATTTGTAATTCTGGTTTTTATAATATTCTGCTTTGTGATTCTGATTTTTATAAATTCTGATTTGTAATTCTGGTTTTTATAATATTCTGCTTTGTGATTCTGATTTTTATAATATTCTGATTTGTAATTCTGATTAAATAATATTCTGATTTGTGATTCTGCTTTTCATATTTCTCATTTGTAATTTATATTTGTAATTTCTTTTCACATTTGTAATTCTGATTTTATATGTATCTCTAATTTCTGATTTGTATTTGTACTAGAGTTGCGCACCGACCCGTACCCCAACTTACCCTCCCTTGAATTCATTTAATTCTTATTTGTAATTACTTTTGTAAAATATTATTTCAATATTTTTTTAATTATTTATTACTAATTTTTAACAATTCTTTTAAATTAAACATTTTTTAAAAATAATTTACACAATGAAAATTCCTTTCATTAATTTATAAATATTTTTGATTGTTGTGCTAAATACCTTTTGGCCTTTTTTTATTTTTTTATCGTTGCTTCGTCCTTGCAAAAAAGCAAAAGAATGCGCAATCACCTCCCCCTCCCTCCCTCTCTTCATTAAATATTAATAGAGCATTTTATATTAATTAAACAACTGGTTAAAAATATGCGTGGAAATATTTTTTATTTAAAGGTAAAATGTAGCAAATCTACGGGGAAATATGTAATTCTCAATTTATGACAATTAATCACTAATTAGCAGCACAAAGTGTCACACACAAAATCTGTCACGTTTGCATACCAAAATAGCAACAAGAATATATAAATTCCTTTGTAATTCTGATTTGTAATTTTTAATTCTGACTTGTAATTATATTTATAATTGATTTGTAATTCTGATTGTAATTTATCAGAATTTTTAATTTATTTTTTAAATTCTGATTTGTAACTTATATCCATAATTCTGATTTGTAATTCTGATTTTTATAATATTCTGATTTTTAATTTATATTTGTAATTTCTTTTAACATTTTTAATTCTGATTTTATTTTTATAATTTCTGATTTGTAATCTTGATTGTTTAATTCCGATATGTATTTATTTTTCATTTTGTAAATCTGATTTGTGATTTTAATTTTGATTTTTAATTTTGTAATTCTGATTGTAATTTGTATTTTTATTTTGATTTGTAATTCTGATTTTAATTTATATTTTTATTTTTGATAATTCTGATTTCTTTAATTTGTATTTTCTTTTACAATTCTGATTTGTATTTTTATTTTGTACATATTTTTTTCTGATTTGTAATTTTTAATTTCTATTTACAATTTCTGATAAATTTTTATATAGTTTTAATATTCTTTTAATTTTCTCGTATTCTGTTTGAACATGTGTCTTTATTTATTTCCAAACTTTATAACATTTTATAGCCTTTTTTGACCCCTCTCTTTTTTTTGATTTGTAATTTCTATTTGATAAAAAAGATAAAACTAATTAAATATATACTTTTGTTGTCTCTTATCAGTTCATTTCAACAATAAAATCATACTTTCCCCTAATAAAAAATTAGAGAATTAATAAATTAAATGATTTATTTCCATGACTAAGTAAAAACTTTAAACAGTAAATTGAAAACAGGCAAAAAATTAAACTTAAAATTAAAAAGTTTTTTTGATATAATTTAATAAATTCTGTTGAAAGAATTTTTTTAATTGTATTTTTAATTTATTTCTTTTGAATTTCTGATTTATATTTTTATTCTGATTGGTATTTTTCAATGGTATAGTGGTAAATTCTGATTTAATATAAATGTAAATTCTGATTGTAATTTTTAATTCTGAATTTATAATCTTATTGGGTTAAAATTCTGATTTAAAAAATTCTGATTAATAATTCTGATTTTAATTTTGATTTTTATTTAATTTTTATTCTGATTGTAAATTCTGATTTGTAATTATAAAATACCGGATTTATTCTAATAGAAACACGTCTCTATTTGAACCACGGTCTCTAATATAACCACACCAAATGGAGGAGTTGAAAAATAAAACCACAGTCTCCATTTGAACCACAGTCTCTAATATAACCACATATCTCTCATACTTTTAAATAAGTGAATGGAATACTGATATAGATTTAAGAGATTACTAGGGATATTGATAGATAAGGAATTCAGAAGATTATGTCAATTTATAATATTAAAAAGCTAGTATCAGTCGAATTGGATTAATACTGTATGGCTAGTTCCTAATCTCTTTCGCTTATTCACCACAATCAACCTTCTAATACATCTTATTAACTTTAGCAAATCCAGGAAAGCCCATGACATAATAGTAGGAGAATTAACGCGAGCTATGGGTGTCGTGGGATTATGAGGAAGATGAGATAAAGTGAATTGTGAAGGATTATAAGATTTTCTATATCGTTTATAATGCCTCCATCCCAAATTCTATGACTTTATTACAACAACGAGGTAGGAGTATTTGATAAATTTACCCGTTTTCCTACAAAGAAACCGAGTTGGGCGTTTAAAAATTGATTAAAACCAACAAATTGATTAAAAATTATAATTATTTTTGGAGAATATGGCAAGAAAATTCCCAATACTTTTCCTATTTTTCAAAAAAAAAGATTGAAAAATAAAGCCACAGTCTCTATTTGAACCACAGTCTCTAATATAACCACACAAAATTGGAGGGTTGAAAAATAGAACCACTGTGGTTCTATTAGAATAAATCCGGTATAAATATAAATTCTGATTTTAATTTTCTCAATTGTAAATTAATATTTTCAACTTCTCTCTTTAATTGTAATTCTGATTTTATTTTAAACTTGAGACTTTCTTCTCTATAGAAAATCATTTTTTAATATATTTCCGTCCGGTTTTACATGACAAAAATAGAAAATCAAGTCAAACAATAAAAAAAGCTTTGAATAAATAGAAAAAGAAACACGAAATTGGATAGCGCAAGGTGTTTAGTAGACGACTATTTTTTTAATTTATTGACTGACCAATCATTCTCTTCTTTTATTTCCCTTCTCTTTTTAATATTTTTAGAAGTAGCTAGTTGTTGATCTAGCTTTTTAATAATATTTTTATTTTTATTTATTTTGCGCTCTTTTTTGTGGTTTTTATAAATAAATTGTAGGGGCTTTTCGAATTTTAATTTTATTTTTAATTATTTATAAGAGAGAAAGAGAAAAAATAATTTTTTAAAATTTATTTTTAATTAAAAAAAAATATCAAATATCAATTTTTTAAAAATCATATTTCGCCCTCACAATGATAAATTAATTTAATTTTGGGGTAACATTAATAATAATATTTTATTTTATCAATTTGTTGATCTCTCATTATTTAATATTTTTTAAAATAAAATGTTATTTAATTTTATTTTTATGATTAATAATTGTAGTTTAATAATCTCATCATAAATATCAATAAACTACAATTATAAATACCCTATATATAGTTGAATTTTGAGTAATGTTCTGATTTGTAATTATTTATTTATTGTTATTTATTAATTCTGATTTGTAATTCTGATTAGTAATTCTGATCTTTACAAATTCTGATTTTTATTGTGTTTTTCTGATTTGTAATTTGTAATTCTGATTTTTAAATAATTAGTGCATTTTGTAATTGTATTTGCAAAATTCTGATTTTTATTCTGTTTTTCTAATTTTGTAATTCTGATCTTTAAAATTATTTAAAAATCTGAATTACAAATCAGAACATTTCTAATTGTATTTTAAATTCTGATTTTTATTGTTTTCTAGTTTACAATTTGTAATTCTGATTTTTCCAGTTGTTTATACTTTCGCTACGTGTTTAGTTTATAATTCTGATTTTTTATTTAATTTGATTTTTATTTTTTAATTCTGATTTGTAATTTTATTTAAATTTAGTAATTATTCTGATTTACTTATACAATTTGTAATTCTAGATATTTAATTAAATTAAAAATGCCTTTACCTGTATTGGCTAGAAAAATGCAAAAATTAGCCTCCCAACAATTACACCAACTTAAGCAGCTTTTAACAGGCAGAGGATTTATAAAATTTAAACGTTTGTATAAAATAAAAGGAGAACTTGGACAGGGAGGGTTTGGGATTGTTTACAAAGGTGTTAGATTGGTAAGGAATTTTTCTGAATTAAATAATTTAACTACAAATTTCAAATCTGCCCCTTCGACCTCTATTTAAAATAACCTATATAACGATACATTAATTAACGGATTAACCTATAAACTCGAAATATGAAAAAAAGTTTAAAAATTATATTTTTTAAAAATAGTCTGATATGTTGCCTGTAGCCGTCAAATTCATCGAACGTCGACATGTCCGTGAATGGGGTCGTTTGGCAGAACAACGGGTTCCTATGGAAATTTGGTTTGATTTTAGAGATTTTAATTCACTAGTCTGCCCTCATTATCTGCCCTCGGGGACTAAAAATTGTCTCTTATAATGAGGTGTATCTTACATTGAGGTATCGCTCCCAAGTCCAAATACCAACCAAATTTTTAGGAAAAAAGGTATCCAAATTGAGGGTACCGTTCAGGCAGCTTCTTCAGAAATTTTTCGAGATATCTCATACGATTTTCATAGAATACCCCTTCCAACCGGTCACTAGTGTTGAGTGTTTTCTATATTGAGGTATTAACTATATTAATCTCTTCTCTTTTTCAGTATGTTAACACGTTGTAATCAACTATCAGGAGTTATAACCTTATTAGACTGGTTTTCACTACCAGAAGGCTATTTATTAGTAATGGAAAGGCCAACTCCCTGTATAGATTTATTCGATTTTATTCAACAACAAAAATATTTGGACGAATCCTTGGCTAAATATTTATTTTCCCAAATTGTAAAAACTATATTAGATTGTTCAAAATTGTTGGTATTACATAGAGATATTAAAGACGAAAATATTTTGTTGGAATTAAATACTGGGAGAATTAAATTAATTGATTTTGGGGCTGCTACTTTGTTAAAGAAAAGTCGTTATCAAGACTTTCAAAGTACGAGGCTTTATTGCCCTCCAGGTAAATGATTTTGTGATAAATAGGAGTAAGATTAAACAAAGACCATAGGGCATGAATTGAACTTGTACTTTCTGGCAATTGTTGCTAGAGGACTTTAACCACCACCTCACCACAACTGATGACCTATTAGAGGATGATTTTTCTTCCTTCTTAAAGTTCTCTTAAAGTCTTCCCAATCATTTTAATCAGATATGCGTAATGGATACGGATACAGATAATTTTAAAATGATTACGGATATCCGACTGTATCCGCTGTAAATATCCGGATATGGATACCAAAATCCATGTTCATTACCAGGTCTGATTTTAATTGCGAGAAAGTCGTAAATAATTAAATTTTCTGGTCAAAATACAAGTTCCTCTTCCATCACTCAAAATTAATATAAAATGAGAGATGGAAAATTGAAAAAATGAAAATAAGCTGTCAAAAAGTCTAAATTAATCAAAACATTTAACAGAATGGTTTCTCCATTCTCTCTATTTGGGACAAGAAGCAACAGTATGGTCATTAGGTGTATTGCTTTATAATATGTTGAATGGAAGGCTACCTTTTCTAAATGAGAGGGATATTTGTACTTCACATTTACTTGGACCTTTACCTTTTTATGTGCCCGTTTCTAGAGGTATAGAGTTTTAAATAATATTTGGAGTGAAGAGAACATTTGATACCTTGATCAAGTTTACGAGGTGAACGGACGTGGGATGTAAGGAGCATAGCTAAATGGAATATGTAGCGAAGGAAATATGAAACAGATTGTGTGTGAGGGGGATTTCATTGACCTCATTATTCTCTCCCTTGTGGGTGTGAGAGGGGTCTAGGGTGACTACACCCCAACTTACCGCGAGCCCAACTTACCGCGCAGCTATAACTTCTTTCAGAATTATCGAATCTGGGACGCCCTGATATGGTGCGATGCTCCTCGACGAGCTGAATCGAACCATACCAAAGCGTCCCGGATTCGAGAATTCTTAATGAAGTTATAGCTGCGCGGTAAGTTGGGCTCTCAGTAAGTTGGCCTGCTCCCTCTAGGGTGTAGAGAAAATAAATTGAAAGGGGATATGAAATGAAGAAAAATAGTGGAGGAGAAGGGGGAAGTATAGAAGTGGATTGGATCTTAAATTTATCTTTTAAACTTCAGAAGCTCGCGAATTATTAACTCAATGTCTCAATTTCGACCCATTTTCACGTCCAACATTAGAACAATTATTAACACATCCATGGCTCACCAAAACGGAAATAGAATGGAATAAATTAAATGAACATTATAGAAATGGGGAGGATGAATATTTTGAAGACGAAGAAAATATAAAACATTTGAATGAATCTGGATTGGCTAGTGAAGAATATTCCTATAATAGTAAGGGAAGGGAAGAGGGTAAATCACACAAAATGTTTGGTGGTTGTTACAGTATGGCTCTACATGGTAGGGATTTTTTGTGGATTTGCAGAACTCCCCTTTGCTGTTAATGATAAAGATTGAGTGAAGGGAACATTGTGTATAGGGGGTAGGGAGTAAAACTGGTAATAAACAATAGTGTTGCGCCGGAGGTTCCGGCAGGCCGGAAGTTACGGGATTTTTTGGTCAAGTAACTGGTTTTAGACAGGTTTAACCAACCCTAATTAAAAGAAGACATACATAGATCACAAAGAACCTAGAGTTAAGGGGGAGGAATCTAGATGTCCCTTATATCGAGATTCTGTTACTCATTTTAGCCTATATTTACTAAGTCACTTCTTAATCTCTTTAATTTTCTAGTTAATGCAATACCCAAAATATGGGCTCAAAATTCATCCCTAACCAACAACAGACGGAATGCCTTAACAGCACACTTTGGATGTCAAAAACACCGAAAAGAAGATGAAAATGAAGAGACCCCTCCCTACAGTATTTTACGCCCAGGACTACGGCAATTCGAGCTTTCCACTCACAAACAAGAAGAAACGGAAGCTGGAGGTTCTGTGGATTCTGGTACTTCCTCAGCTCTACATTCACCTAGAATTATGCTAAATAACCCTAAATTTTGATTTAAAAATTTAATTATATAAACCTATATATTAATTTAATTATTTTATTGTATGTCTGTAAATAATTTAAATATAATAGTAATTTTATTACCCTCCTCCCCCTTGGTTTTACGATTTTCAGGGGCCTATATCCAGTGCTTGGAACTCGTACCAAAATTCGTACTCGAAATACGATTACGAGCAAAAAAAATAGGCCGGTACGAAGTACGAATAAAAGGCCAAAATTAGGGGTGGTACGAAGTATGTGTACGAGCAATTCTGAAATTTCAAGCACTGCCTATATCTCTGTGAGTTTTCGTCTCGTGCAAAAAATTCTTGCATATTTGAACTCAGCTCGGCGAACGAATCGAATGTATACTTCGAGTTCCGGTCTCGGTGGGCCTATACTGAAGCGACTCCTAATATTTGGTTGGATGTTGAGGGGTGAAGAAATTGTAGAATTTCTGAGAAAGCCATTTTTCTTTTTTCTTCTATCATTGTCTAGACTCTAATGTCTATTTTTCGAAAAAATAAAAAGGAGAGAGAGTATAGGCATGGCAGTTAAAGAGAAAATAAAAATTGGGACGGTCCATTTTGTCGTAAGTCTTTCCCCGCAAATTTAGCACTTTTGAAGGAATATGAGATATTTCACATATTAAAGGTATTATTCGACAACTTACAAACCGAAAAAATTTTTAACATCGACAGTCATCTATTTAATATTGACGGAAATCGACAAGTTAGGTTCCGCGATAAAATATTTAGCGACAAAGTGGCTTAATTCAGTTTAAATGACAGAGAAATAAATTTATTAATTTAATACACTATTTCTTCAATTTTTTCTCTATTTTTTCTCGTTAAATTTTGTTTTTAGTAAATTAGAGTACACAAAACTTTTTTTTTATGAATGTTTAGCTGGAACAAAATGAATTTTTGGGGGAATTTTATTCCCGATTTTGTGATCGAGCTGGGTCTGGTCTGTCGTTTTCCTGTACCCAGAGTCAAGACTCAGGCATTTGTTGACCTTCCTGGGGTTCTTCCTGGGACTTGAGTTTTCCTGGACTACCAGGCCTAGGAAACAGGTCCAGGTCAAGAAATCAAACCCAGAAACAGGTCCAGGCTTTTCAAAAATCTCGATCACTATTATCAATTTTGTGGATTGGTCGGCTAAATCCCCGTTTCCTCCCCTTTTTTCATTTTTTTAAAATTTTGAACGTCCTTAAATTAATTTAACAATTCTCTTTTTTTCTAGTTTAGGATGACTGAAGTTGAATATAATTTAAATTATTTTATTGAACAAGTTAGAGAAGAAGTAGACGACAAAGGTTTTCCTTTCCTTTTTAAATTATTAAATTTAAATTTTATTTAAAAAAAAAAAGATCTAGTTGGGGACTTATTGTATGAAGAACCGAGAGAATCTCGTTACGAAGAATGTTGTATTATGGTTTTTAATATTCCGACGGTTGGAGAAGACAGACTTGAAAAATTGAAGAAAGTTTTGTCTGGAGTGTTTTCTTTGCAGAATTTGTACAAATTTAATGATTATTATCCGCTTAATGAGGAAGGAAAGACTAAGGTTTGTTGACTTTTTTTTGTTTTTGGTTGATTTCTAGGGAACTTTAAGGACTTTAGGTTCTCATTGTATTTATTCCGTATCTCCCGTTGTTTTACTTTAACATAAGTATAGGGTTCGGGTTAGAGACGGACGGCCTGAAAAATAGAATTGGGAATCGAATTTTGGCCCGAAAAAGACTCTATAGGGCCGGCTTGAAAGCCTAACCCTATTCAAGTATTTATATTAAATGAAAGGGATTATTTTTGGGAATATCTGGCTCCACTTTTTTAATCGGTTTCCCTTGACAGTTCTAATTTAATCGTTTAGAACTTCTTTTCTGTTTAAATTTTTGGGATGCTCCTTCTCTTTGTTATTTAGACAGGTTTTTGAACTTGTGTTAAGCTTCTCTTTTGTTTGACTCGTTGATTCCCTTTACCTTCCTCCGCTAACCGGGTAATTCGGGATATTTTTGATTGAGATCTGTTACAGCATTACATTTCTCCGTCAAACAATTTATCGATTTCCCACAAGTTTAATATTCTTTTCTCTGCCTTATACGTTTTAAAATCACATTTTTCCATTTCCTGTTATTCATCATCCTTTCAGGTTGCCTTTGACTTTAATAAACCTAAGGAAATATTTTTTAATTAAAATTTTTCCAAAATTTAAGGGTTATGTTTTCCTCGAATATGAAAATAAAGAAGCTGCAAATGCTGTTAGATCAATTTGTGAGGGTTACAAACTTGACAAGAACCATACTTTTTCGTCTTACCCATTTTCTGCTTTGAGGGATTTGAAAGAGCCTAGTGCCAATTGGAAAGTTCCGGAGAAGCGTGCTTATGTTGATTTGGTTTGGGTTTTTGAGTACTATCGAATTAGCTCCCACTAACGTCCGCAAGTTTGTTTGGGCTTTTTTTCGTTCTTTTCCTTCTCAATGATTAAAAAATGATTTCCTTCTTATAAAGACTAGAGATCGGTCTGGACCATGGCTTGGGTTTTTCCTCTACCCAGACTCCAGGCCCGTGAATTTAATTTTTGACCTATCTGGGTTTTACTGGGCCTAGGTTTTTCCTGGACTACAAGATCCAGTCCAGGTCAGTAAATCAGACACGGAACCCAGGAACAGGGCCAGGCTTTACAAAAATTCAGATCTCTTAAATTATTCCTTGATTAAGTTTCAGTCATTATAAAAGGAGAAAGAAGGAAAAAAACTTGCGGACAAACATTTGCGGACGTCGAAGGGGGATAAGGCGATAGTGCCCTTTTTTGTATTTTTTAACTTAAATTTTTCTGTTTTCAAGGGCGATCGTTGGTGGTGGCTGCAAAATACAAAATGTCTCGATCAATTTGCTATACAATATGAAGATGATGGGGGTCTACAACTGGAAGTTTTTACGCATGCTAAAAATGGGGATCCAATACTTGTCCAACAGAGAACGGTTTTTTTCTTAAAAAATCTTCGAAAAAATTTCCTCAAATTCAGAATTGGTCAGAAGACAGTATTTTCAAATGGACCCCTCATGGTTCGTATTTGGCATCTCTTCATGCTAGAGGGGTTATTCTTTGGGGAGGAAAGGAATTTAAACAATTTCAACGTTTTGAACATGGAGGGGTTAAACATATTGAATTTTCTCCTAAAGAAGGGTATTTTTTATAGAATTCTTATTAGATTGATATTTCTTTGAGAAAGGGTATTTTGGAAAGACTTGTGGGGGTTTCGAGAACCATAACTGGGGCCTCCCGAACGCAGAACGATGAAACTTGGTCCCCCGTTTTGTCTTTCGCCAACTTTCGCCTTTTTTGGTGTTTCATCGTTCTGCGTTCGTTTTTCTAAAATTACTTTCGGCACACTCCTGGTAGAGATCCCGTGGTCATAGAGTCCTATAAGTTTTATTTTATGTATAAATGTATTATGCCTATTTTGCCATTGACAATTTTGTTTTCTGGTAAGGGTGTGTGGGGTGGCCTAGGTGGTTGAAGCCTCCCGCCCCTCCCATAAATGGGGGAAAATTAGGAGAAGAATGATCAAAAAAGTGTTCCCTTTCCTTTTACTTGTTCCCTTTTTCGTTTTCCCAAATATAAAATTATTTTTTCAAAGTTATTTGGTGACATATGCTTGTAACACAAATGGCCGTGATAATGAAATGTTTAAAATATTTGATGCATTTACTGGAGAATTAAAAAGAACATTTTCTCCATTTGGAAAAATGTCTTCAACAACAACAACAAATAAACAATTAAATTTGCCTTTTGTTAAATGGTCTTTTGATGAAAAATATTTTGCCTATTCTAGAGCTTCAAGTGAATGTTTAAATGTTTTTAGTTGTGAAAATTTTAAATTATGTGATGGAAAAACTGTTGAATTGGAGGGATTGGTTAATTTTAGTTTTAATTCGACAAAGAATATTATTGCTTATTATTGTGAAGAAAAGGTTTGGAAAAATTTTTTTGAGAAATTTTTTGGGGTTTTTTGGATTTTTTCTGAGAAAGACTCGAGAACCTGTTAATTTTCAGTCAGATTTTTATTTTGCCAGCTAACTAATTTTTTTGGGTCTTATAATACAATAGTTGGGGCTGCCTAATGAGTTTGTAACTAGAAAAAAAAGTCTAAGCGTTTTGATTGTGGTGTTACTCGATACACCCAGCCGAATGAGTAGAATCTTAACCAAATTAGAAAAAGTCTAACTTCCATAAATTTTGTTCAAAATTCTGTGGCTTTAGAATCGCTGTAGTTTGGGATGGGACGGGTTGAGAGAAAAGTCGGGTCGGGTCTTCAAAAAATTTTTTAGGATCGAGCCAGAAAAAATCAGGGTTTCATGTAACCTCTCCCATCCCTGCTGTGGATTGGGAGTAGAGACTAGACCTAAACGAAATCTCGAACCTCTAATTAGGAATATTCGTCTTTAGACTAGGTCACTAAAATCCTGGCCAGCTTTTTTTTGCCAATTTGTATTCCAAATCGGTTCTAAAATTGGAGTTTAATTAGAAATTTATTAACAGAATCCTCAAAAATTAAAATTATTTTTAAATTTTATAAAAATCCAGAAAATTTAATTGGGATCAATTGTCTCATTTTTTCAAATTTTTTTATTTTCTAGTCAAATGCTACTAATAGACCTGCAGAAATTGGAATAATGGAAATTCCTTCACGTACAAAACTTCGAGCACAAAGAATTTTTGGAGTTTTTCAAGTAAATATTTTTTGGCAAAAGAGTGGATTATATTTGGCTGCACACACTGAACGTTATCAAAAAATGGTTAAAAATAAGGACGATGTTAAATATTCGGTTTGGATTTTTTAATTTGAAATGATAGGGAGGTTGATTGGATTGGTCCCCACAATTTTTCCAGTTTCTTTTTTATCAATTTTGGGTAGTTTTCTGTTGTCCTTAGGGGGTGTTGAATCCTGACAAAGTCATCGATATCAGAAGCGAAAGCTTTCGGATATCTCGACTTTTTTGGGATCTGGATGTCCATTATCTGTCAACTAGTTATCCCCCATTTTCTTTACTCTTTTCCTTCTTTCCAAAAAATTAAAAGGTACAATTGTGGTTAGATTAAATTCTTCCATTCCCCTCATATTTCTTGTTAAATTTTATATTTTTAGGGTGTAACATCCCATTTAGAAATTTTTGATTGTACTGAAAAAACAATTTCTGTGTTAACATTGCAACTTCCCGAACCTTTTTTAAATTTTGCATGGGAACCTAAAGGTTGTTTTTATTTTATAAATTTGTTAGGAAATAAGTCCTAGAAATATTTTTTTAGAATAAGTTGAAATAAACCCCAATTAATAGCTTATCCAGGAACTCTAGAGAGGGGTCCCTGTGGTGTTAAAGGAGTCCTTCCAATAAATGGCCAAGAATATGAAAATATTTTTAGTAGATGAGAAAATTAGGAAGGAGTCAAGCTAACGACCTCCTCCACTTTTACAAACTACCTCGGGTACCGCCGAGCTATAACCTTGTTCAACAGTATCGAATCCGGGAATTATTGATATGGTCTGATGCGCCTCGACGAATTGAATCATAACATACCATTCATCAATTTTGAAGGAGGTTATCGCTCGGCGGTACGTTGAACTCTCGGTACATTGTCTTGCTACCAGCTACCACCACCCTAATTTTTTTCTTATTTCAAATTTAAAAAATAACTTTATAAAGTATCTTCGTTTTTTAATTTTTAGGAAATAAATTTTGTGTTCTAGTCGGTTCAACTTCACCAAAAATAACTCCATTAATTTATCGTTATGACAAAGGCAAACCTGCCCCCCAACTTTTATCGAAAATTGAATCTGGAACAAATTTAAATTCAATATCTTGGGCCCCTCAAGGGGGCTGGTTAATTGTTTATGGGGCAAGTACTCCTGGAGGTTTGGTTTATTTTATTGATGCTAGTGGGACAGAAGCTAATAGAATTCGGTCAATTGAACATCCATCGTTAACTAAGGTTTGGTTTTTATTGTTGTGGGGGATTGGATTTTTCTATCTCTTTTTTTTTGGTAATCCAAGTCAGAAGAAAGATTTTACGAAAATTTAAATTATTTAGCGAAAAGGGAGATCCAGCTAGCTTGTTAGTGTTTAAAACGCTTACTAGGCGGGGGTTTGGGATCTATTAAAAGAAGAGTGAAATCCCCATGGTACTTCAGTTATTAAGTAAAGGCATTTGTTTATAACTAGCAAGAAGGTCGGCTCCCCCTTTTATAAATTTGTTAGGAAGTAAGTTTTACGTCCTCGAAATATTTTTTTAGAATAAGTTGAATAGGCCTGAATGAGTTGAATTTACATATCCAGAAACTTCGAGATGGGTCCCCGTGGCCCAGAAAAAAATCAGAACATTTTAATGTTGTTTAATTCTTGGTGTCAATTTTATTTTTGATTTTTTTTCTGATTTTTTGTTAAGTATTTAAAATTTTAAAATTAATTTTTGATTTTTTATTTTCTGAATTTTTTCCATGGATTAGACACTATTTTATCTTTTGTTTTTAATTTTTATTTATTCAAACATTCATAAAAATTTTTAAATTCTTATTTAACAATTTTCAGGCATTTTGGGACCCAACAGGACGTTATTTAGCAATTTGTTCATTTGGAGGCAAAAGTCGTTACGAAACTGGTTATCGAATTTATACATTTCTTGGAAGAGAAATTTTGCGAAAAATTGTTGATTCTTTGTTGCAATTTAGATGGAGACCTCGTCCACCAATTCAATTAAGTGAACAAAAACTTAAAGAAATTAGAAAGACTTTAAAACAAAAATCGCAACAATTTGAGGAAGAAGATAAGAGGGAATTACTTAAAGTGTCTAAGGTAAAAAGGAAAAAGTTTTCTTGTTTTTTGTCGTTTGTGTGAAGGAAAAATAGTAAACTTGTATTAAGCTTTAAGCCTTTGAGAGTTACTGACTATGAGGATAGGCAAACCTCTAGGCTTTTGTTTAAAATCGGATCTAGTCCAATTTGACGTGATGGGCCCATTATCCAGGGTTTTCTTCTAAATTTACCGGAGCCGAGATTGCTGGGTTAGAACCTTGGCAACTTCGAAACACACAGATTTTATTAAAATACCCGGTTTCCGTACTACTATATGTGTGCCAGACTGACCATGCATTTAGATTAATTTAAAGTTTTGTCTGTTACAAAAATAGTAAGTCACATTTTTATAGGCTTGTGTCTAGTCAAAACAATCCTTGAAAAACACAAATTTCTGTCATTAAAAAATTTTTTAAGGAAATTATTGAACTTCGTCAAAGTGCATTGGCTTTATTCAAAGAAATTCGACAACGTTCCCAAAATTATGATATTGAAGAAAGAGAAGAAAAATTAGCTTTGAGAGGTGGAAAAGATTTGAAAAAGATGGAATTAGATTTGGTAGAAGAAACAATTACAATTGCTTTGAATACAGAAATGGAGGAATTGAAGGAGACAAATACGGCTAAGGAGGGTGATGATATGGATTAATTAGAGAAAAATAAATATTTTTGTTGTTGATGTTTTTCTGGTTTTAAAAATTGTTGTGTTTATACAAGTATAAATATATTTTCGAAAAAAATCCATTCAAAAAAACTTTCTTTTGAATGGATTAGAGATGAATTTTGTTTGACGGCTTATCGATATAAATCGATTTTTTATTATCTGTGAAAGTGAACGATGTTTTTTTAATGTCCGCATGGATTTCTAGAGACGTCCGAGACTTTTCTTGGGTTTTTTCCGGTCTTGGTCTCGAGTAATTGAAAATTTTCGGTCTCGGACGTCTCTAGTGTTCCGGGCGTGGTACACCCACCAGTCTGCCTCCAGACGAACCTAAGCTTTTATGAACAACTTCACTCGTTGATGGAAGTCCCCCGTTTTGCCTCTCATCAATCTTTCATGTAATCAATAGATTTGAAATTTTTCATTTCTCATTGCAATTAGAATACGACATTTTTCAAGTCTAATATTCACAGTTTACCTACCCAAAATTGTTTTTTATGGTTATTCTCTAACGTTTCCAGTCCTAAAGTTCGAACTCCCGAAAACAAACTAAAGGTTAACGAGACTTAATAAGTACAATGTAGTTCCTTTTTGTCTGTAGATGTTTTGAAGTAATTGATTTGTTAGACACTTTTTTTGAATTTAAATTATAAGCATTGGCATAGCGTTTATTTTAGAGATAGTTATAACACAGAGAATTAGAGTTTTTCTTTGTGTGCCTCTCTTTTTCAATTTCATAATTTCACTCCTTTTCCATTTCTGTAAATAACTGCCCAACTTTCTGTCTTGTCATGGGGTTTCAAATCAATAATCTGCGTCTTTGGTTCGGGGCATCCTACTTCCTTTTTCATAACAATTTGATTAATCTCTTATTTTTTTACATTTTTAGAGTTCAAAATTTTCAAAAATTTATTCCTACTCCTCCCTTCAATTTGATATGAATGTATTTTGATGTACCAGATTTTGTCAAGATTTTAATGTGTCCGCATAAGATGTGCAACATGCGTGATATGATGGATGAAATATTGATAAACAATCTGCAAGGTTTTCTTTTAATTTTTTAATTTTGGGTATAAGTGAAGAATCTGGTCACTAGAAAAATGAGCAAAATGTGCTTGTTCGGTGTTTTTGAGGTTTACCAGTAGTCTGGTTTGATGAGTCAATCACGGGTTTAGAAAAATCCTTCAAATGATCCGGGATCCTCCGTTAGGATACTCTAGCAATTTTGACCAACTAAAATCGAAGAGAAGTGTTAAATTGATCTTAATTGTTGAACTGAAATTAACAGGGTCTAATTTATCTTTGGGACTTGAAATTGTTAAATTCTAAGATCATATTCGGACTCATTACATACACTGATTTCCTAATGGCAAACCTCGAAATATCAAAAAAGCACTGCTCAGTTTTTTCTGTGGACAGATTCTGGGGGGGGGGGGTTGGGCTTTTTTGTTCCAGCATTAATGGGATGTTTTAGTTATAACTGCAGATGTTTTAGTTCGTCTGTTATTATAGCTAGGATAGGAAACGTTGAATAAGTTTGTACCTTCCTCCGGTGAGGGTTCAAAAAGTTACCCGCTGCTTTTAATTAGACTCGAGCCGTTGCACATCGGCGCAGCGTTTACCCTCTCATTTCATTTTGGGGAAAGTTTTGTGCTAAACTGCTGTCCCGTTTTTAGAATAACGTATTCACATGTATGAGTCCCTGGTGGTTCCAAAGAAGTAGGGGGCTTCCCGGGCATTCCATGAAAATTGTTTATACGCCCGCAGCTAAGAAAATTTTCAGGGAATTTTTTAAAGTTTTTGCCCGATTTTATATTCAAATTTGTTTTTTAGTACATTACTTTTTCACATTTGGGTAATGATGAGAAAAACTTCAAATGCTCTTTACTGTAACTACGCAACATCAACTGCTTTCTCCGCTGCTGTTGTTGGTATTTCGCAAGTTTTATTTTTATATTTTCTTGGGTTATGGAAAAATTGAGTAGAGGTTTCCTCTGATTGGTGTTAAGAGTTCCAGGTAATAGTGAGGATTACTCATCCCAGAAAAAATTAGGAAATGCTTTTTCGATATTTTTGAGGTTTCCCAGTAGGTGGATTGAGTATACTGACATGATGCGAATATAAACTAAAATTTTATTTCGAACACAAATTTGGTCACACAAAAAACACAACCCGGACACAAATTTGGTCAGGTCAAAAGCGGTTTGGTATTCGGAAATTAAAAGTGTAGTGCTAACCTGAAAAACTATGTTTCGACACCTTTCAACGAAATTCTGTGTATTGATTTGGGCAATCCAGGAGAATTGGGGTCCCTGCGGAAAAAAATCTTAAAAATAAGAAAAAGGATTTTTCTAGGGTAAAAAATATGCTGATTACGAATCTGAACTCGGATTTTGGAAAAGTCGAATCCCGAACCCGAAATTCGGACATTTGACATTTTGGGAAAAATTTCGAAAAATAAACAGAGCGTAAATTGGTCAAATAATATCTCATT